CGCACACCCATTTCGGCACACCCCTCACACGTTTCGTGGCCCATAGGGAGCTCCACCGAAGGCCCCAGTGCCCGCGCCCGCATGCGTCACCCACACCCATTTCGGCACACCCCTCACACGTTTCGTGGCTCCATAGGGAGCTCCACCGAAGGCCCCAGTGCCCGCGCCCGCATGCGTCACCCACACCCATTTCGGCACACCCCTCACACGTTTCGTGGCTCCATAGGGAGCTCCACCGAAGGCCCCAGTGCCCGCGCCCGCATGCGTCACGCACACCCATTTCGGCACACCCCTCACACGTTTCGTGGCTCCATAGGGAGCTCCACCGAAGGCCCCAGTGCCCGCGCCCGCATGCGTCACGCGCACCCAATTCGGCACACCCCTCACACGTTTCGGCCCCATAGGGAGCTCCACCGAAGGCCCCAGTGCCCGCGCCCGCATGCGTCACGCACACCCAATTCGGCACACCCCTCACACGCTTCGTGGCTCCACAGGGAGCTCCGCCGAAGGCCCCAGTGCCCGCGCCCGCATGCGTCACGCACACCCATTTCGGCACACCCCTCACACGTTTCGTGGCCCCATAGGGAGCTCAGCCGAAGGCCCCAGTGCCCGCGCCCGCATGCGTCACGCACACCCATTTCGGCACACCCCTCACACGCTTCGCGGCCCCATAGGGAGCCCCGCCGAAGGCCCCGGTGAGTGTGCCCACATGCGTCCCGCACACGCATTTCGGCACACCCTTGCACGCTTCGTGGCCCCATAGGGAGCGCCACCGAAGAAGATATTCAGAATTGCGGTACTCACAAATGCATATGGTTGGGTCTTTCGCCAGGATAATTTTTTGACGAGAAATCCTGGGATGGGGGGCCTCAAGAGCAGAGGCTCCATGAGTGGGGGATGCCGGAGCGAGGAGGGGGGCGTTGGTTGCGTTTGGGCGAGCAATCGTGAGGTGGGAGGCCCCAAGAACAGAGAGTCCATGAGCGGGTGATGCCGGGGCGAGGAGGGGCGCGCTGGTCGTCTTTGGGGAAGAAATCGGGGGGTGGGGGGCCTCAAGAACAGAGGCTCCATGAGTGGCGGATGTCGGGGCGAGGGGGGGGGCGTTGGTTGTGTTTGGGCGAGCACTCGTGAGGTGGGAGGCCCGAAGAACAGAGGCTCCATGAGTGGGGGATGCCGGGGCGAGGAGGGGAGCGTTGGTCGTTTTTGGGTGAGAAATCGTGGGGTGGGGGGCCGCAAGAACAGAGGCTCCATGAGTGGGGGATGCCAGGGCGAGGAGGGGAGCGTTCGTCGTTGTTGGGCGAGAAATCGTGGGGTGGGGAACCCCAAGAACAGAGGCTCCATGAAGGGGGAATGCCGGGGCGAGGAGGGGGGCGTTGGTCGTTTTTGGGCGAGAAATCGTGGGGTGGGGAACCCCAAGAACAGAGGCTCCATGCGGGGGGGATGCCGGGGCGAGGAGGCGGGCGTTGGTCGTTTTTGGGCGGGAAATCGTGGACTGGGGGCCCCCCAGAACAGAGGCTCTATGATCTATGAGTGGGAGATGCCGGGGCGAGGAGGGGGGCGTTGGTCGTTTTTGGGTGAGAAATCGTGGGTGGGGGGCCTCAAAAACAGTGGCTCCGTGAGCGGGGGATGCCGGGGCGAGGAGGGGGGCGTGTTTTTTTTGTTTTTTTGAAAAATCGTGGGATGGGGGGCCTCAACAACAGACACTCCATGAATGGGAGATGCCGGGGCGAGGAGGGGAACGTTGGTCGTTTTTAGGCAAGAAATCGTGGGGTGGGGGGCCTCAAGAACAGATGAGTGGGGGATGCCGGGGCGAGAAGGGGGGCGTCGTTTGTTTTCGGGCAAGAAATCCTGGGATGGGGGGCCTCAAGAACAAAGGCTCCATGATTGGGGGAGGCTGGGGCGACGAGGGGGGCCTTGGTCGTTGTTGGGGGAGAAATCGTGGGGTGGGGGGCCCCAAGAACAGATGCTCCATGAGGGGGGAATGCCGGGGCGAAGGGAGGGGCGTTGGTTGTTTTTGGGCAAGGAATCGTGTGGTGGGGGGCCCCCGCTTCACAACATCAAGAGGTCCATGGGGTGAGTATGCCGAGGCGCGGTGGAAGGTTCGGGTGGCGTGCGTCGGTCGGTTTTGAGCGAGAGATGGCGGGATGGGGGGTCCAAAAAAAACACGGGCCAGGGCGAGAAGCGGAGTATAGGTCTGGGCGAGTTGGAAGCAGAACTCTTCGTGTGGGCAGTGCGAGGAGAGGAGCATGGGTCCATATTGGTCAATGTTGGGCAAGGCTTGTTTTTTTCCTCACACGCCTCTGGGGTCGGCGGATTTATTGCCGTGCGCCCCTTTGCATGGGCATTACATTCCCTTCCATTTCCTCCGCATGTTTCTTCCTAAGGTGGCCTCTCACTTGATGCTGCTCCGTGGTTGATTTCAGTCGCGGGTGCATGGGGCACACAGAAACACCTTTCTTATCTCCTCATCCACATTCCATCCTTGGATATTTCCGCCGGCGCCCCAGGACGAGCTCCTCATTGTAGACCCGAGCGTGGGACCACTGCCGCAGGAAAGTCAGGCAGGGGTGATGATGTTGATGGTGATGCTGCTGATTATGCTGCTGCTGATGATGATGCTGATGCTGATGCTGATGTTGGTGATGACGATGATGCTGGTGGACGATGCTGATACTGATGATGATGCTGATGATGATGATGAAGATGATGATGATGATGATGATGATGATGATGATGATGATGATGATCATGATCATCATGATGATGATGATGATGATGAGGTTGAGGTTGATGATGATGATGATGATGATGATGATGATGATGATGATGATGATGATGATGATGATGATGATGCTGATGATGATGATGATGATGATGATGATGATGATGAGGAGGAGGAGGAGGAGGAGGAGGAGGATGAGGATGGTGATGATGATAATGATGATGGTGGCGATGATGATGTTCATGATGGTGTTGATGATGGTGTTGGTGGTGGTTGTGTAGAGGAGGAGGACGAGGAGGAGAAGGAGGAGGAGGAGGAGAATGAGGAGGAGGAGGGGGGAGGGGGAGGGGGAGGAGAAAGAGGAGGAGGAGAAGGAGGAGGAGGAGGAGGAGGTGGAGGAGGAGGGGGAGGGGGAGGGGGAGGGGGAAGGGGGATGAGGAGGGTCGGCATCTCCCAAATTCTACTCTGCGTCGGCCACCCCCCCCAGGGCTGACACGCGCGTTCAGCAATCATATGGTGTTTGCTCGGTGGCGGGCAGCTTCTGACCACAACCCCCAGGTACCGATCTACTATGAGACGATTGTTTTTCAAGTTCGGTTCGGACGTTCGCCTCCAGGGGGGCACATCGTATTAGTACGTTCCTCTGCGTCCCAGAGGACGACGATAGGGAATGTGAGGAGGGATAAGGAAAGAACAGCGCGGAACGCGGGTGGGAGGAGGGCGGGGTGAGCAGCGAACCCGGAGGGTGGATCTTGGCGGGGAGTGGAGGCGTTTTTCTCGTCCGCATCTCCCTGTCGTCGTTTTGCTCGGCCGTTCCGTGGCAAAGGGGATGAGGAGATGAGGCGGCGGGAAGGGGGGAGGACAATGGGCAGGAGGAGGGGGAGGATGAGGAGGTGGAGTGTCGGGGAGGAGGGGGAAGGAATGACGAGGAGGAGGAGAAGGAGGAAGGAGAGGAGGAATGATATCACCAGCTGTTGGAACATGCCGTTACGACTTGGTGAGAATCATAGTTGAGCGTGAAGGTCGAGTTGCCGTCGTTACCGACGCCGTTTCGCTGAATTATTCAACCTGTGGAGCGCTTGCATTCTTGCCTACGGGAAAAACATCAAATCGTTCTCGCGCAATTCCGTCGCCAGGGTTTGCATCGCAGCGGGAAGAGGTTGATGGCAGCCACAGCAGCCGCAGTTGTTGTTCCAGCTGCAACAGGCGATCCCTTACCGGAATTAGGCACACCCCAGGACAGAGATCAGTGGTTTAACCTAAACCCAGCGCGCGCTTCACTGAGTCATGCGGGGCGGCCGATCACTGTGGGGGCTACAGTTACGTGAAAGTGGCACTGAGAGCCAACCATGAGGGCATGATGGAGTTCATCTGACGGCAGACAGCAGCGGGGACAAGAACCATTAATCTTGGAACAAGCGATTGGATACTATTCATGACCCAGAAGATGAGTTCGCTATTGTTGAGCATGATGAATCGAAACATGTAGGCCAAGGGTGAAACAAAACAGAGGCAGATAGTAAGTGAACACCGAGTGGGCCAAGTCGACCAAGTGAGTCGACCTGGAGTTACTTTTCGCTTCGGCGCTCTCTTTTCGATTCGAGGCCCTCTGGGTCCTCTTCGAAGCAAAGGAGTCGGAGTCACTTTGCGATTCGGGCCCTCTTGGGCCGCCTGGGGAGCCTCTTCGGGCACTCTTGGCCCGTCCTGGATCCTGGGGCTATTTGGGGACCCAGGACCCCCGGGGGGGAGTTGTATGTGGGTGGCTACCCCCCGGGAGCGTCCCCCCCGACGGGCAGGGATCAAAGGGAAGGGGCTTTCTTGCGCATGACGTCACTTAATGTTGCTTTGGCTGGCGCGCTTGAGGAGGGCCTAGGAAAGGGTGCGAGCGGCGACGTGCCCAGGGAAATGGGGGCCGCAGGGTAAGCGGACAACAGAGACGACGATTATCAAATGACGGAGACGACGACTCGAACGGACAAGCCTCACACACGCGCCGACAGGGTCGGCTGATATTTCCTAGCAGGGGCGACAGTCGAGAGCAACGCTTGCCCGAGGTGCGGCCGCGAGCCAGAGACTGACATTCACCATTGCTGGGCGCAGTTTGGTAGTGGGGAGATTTGAGGGGAGAAAACACACAGACACAATCAATCGTCGACTCCCAGGAAAATATTGGAAAATAGGGGAAGTTGGGGGGAAGACGATCACCCAGAAAATAGGGGAGAATATGGGGAATCCTGGGATTTGTGTCCATTTATTTGTGTGTCCCTGGGCCGCTTCACAGGCCGCGCAGCATTTACAAGCAGCTGCAGGGGCCGCGGCTCACCCTCGCAGCTGGCCTGGAGGCACGAGCGGACTTCCATCCCCGAGCCGCCAGACGAGCTGGTCGTCCAACCCCGACCCGCCCCTGGATGGAAGGTTTCTCCGAAGGGCTTAGGCGACCCATCCTCCTCCTCCTCCTCCTCCTCCTCCTCCTCATCCTCCTCCTCATCCTCCATTCCTTCACCGTATAGATGACTCCTCCCTGTCGCACCCCGAGGCCAGCTTTTACGGCGGGCTGGGCGTTTCGCCTGAGGCTTCCCCACCATTAATGATTCCGAAGCTTGACAAGAGAGCAGTTTCACAGATGGAGGGCGGGTGGTTTTCAAAATGTGGTTCTCGTCTTAGCGCCGCGCACATTTGTTGTTGAACACTTGCAAGAGCTTCACGCAGTGAGGGTGGGCGGTTTTCAAACTGTGGCTCTCGCCCTAGCGCCGCGCACATTCTTTTTAAACAATTGCAAGGGTTTCACAGGTTGAGGGCGGCTCGTTTTCAAAATGTGGTTCTCGCCCTAGCGCCGCGAACATCCGTTTCTTCCAACGTTGCAACAGCTTCACGGATTGAGCGCGTTGTTTTTCAAACTGTGGTTCTCGTTTCAGTGCCACGCACATTCGTTTGTATAAATGTGCAAGAGTTTTATTGATTCCCATGATCAGCGAGCGTTCCAATAATGGTGTTTTGGAAGGGTTCAGGATTATGTGGGTGCAACCGGTATGTTGATTCGTTGCGTTGAAGTCCCAAAAACGGTGTTCTGGCACGATTCTGGATCGTCAGGACGCAGCAGTCAGGTTGATACGTGGCGTTGAACTCCCGAGAAAAATGTTTTGGCACGCTTCAGGATCTTCAAACTGTTGTCTTCCAGCGAGGCAGTTCCCCCAATGGAAATGAACCGTTGTAGGGGTCTATGAAGAGGGAGCTTGGAAGGAGGGTTGATTCCAACATTGTTGATGACTCTTGGGTTTCCACTGGTCCTCCTCCCCCTCCTCCTCCTCCTCCTCCTCCTCCTTCCCCTCCTCCTCCCCCTCCTCCTCCTCCTCCTCCTCCTCCTCCTCCTCCCCCTCCTCCTCCTTCTCCTCGGGTCGCCCACGGCCCCGGGGGAAACCGTGCATTCCTGGAGCCGTCCTCGATCCCTCCCAGTGTGTTCTCCCATCTTGTTTTCGGCCGCGCCCTCCCCCTGCTCCTCCTCTTGCACGGTGGCACAATTCGCTCTAACGGCATCCCCGTTCAGGCATCCCATCATCAGCGCAGACAGCCTTTGCCTAGCCGCCGACGCAAAAAGTGCTCTCTCATCGTTTTCATGGGGGTCTTGGGGGGGAGTGGGGGGATCTGGCTGGGGATACCCCAGGAGGCCTTTTCTCGGGACACCCTGTCCTCAGGAAAGCCACCTGGGGGGCCGACCCTCGGATGCCAGGAGCCCCAGTGGGGAAATTAGGAGGCTTCGGCGGAGCCCTCCCAGGTATTGGATCAACCGTGCTGAGCTTTCTTTTGCGCGCAAGGAGGCAATCTTGGAAGCGGCTGGCAGGGGCGTGACTTGCGTTACTGACAGCGCATCTGCTCAACGAGGTTTGTTCAGATTGCGGGCCAAGGCGAGGTGGCAGCCAACGACCAACGGGGACTGTTGGCACCTAGTGCGAGAGTCTCCCGATGGAGGGCCGTCGACCTCATCAAGTTTGAGAGCCACGCTTCTCCAGGGCTATTTTGAACGTGCCTTGCCTGGCCTGTGCGCTCTGTTTGTTGCACGTTCGCTGACGAGCTTTCCGGCACACATGCTTTCCAGGAGCCCAGGCATCCTTCTGGTTTCTCAGAGATCCCGCGGGAGCTCGAGGTCGAGCCTCCAGACATTCGCAGGGTGTTGGTCGTCAGTTTGGCCGAGATGCCGGCAGGCCGTCCAGGCGGCGTCGGGTTCGTCCAAGCCGAAGCTCGATGTGCCGCGTGCCCTGGCAGAGACCCTGCACCTGCCTGAGTCGGAAATTATACCCAGTCGTCACCGTCGCTGGCAGTGCCGCGCGTGCGGTGCAGGACCGATCGGGTGATCCAAAGGTGTTCTACCCAAGTGGCTCAAGAGGCCATGTGCCCCGCCAGTCCTCCACGACCCTGGCAGCAAGGCCCCGCGCGAGGTGGGGCCTGTGCGAAGGGACCTCGCCGCGCACCCTTCGCACTTGATGGGGTGGTGGGAGGTGGGGCAAGGGTCTCGGAAGGAATTCATGTTGGTTTGCTCCAGATGTGGAGGCCTGAGTACGGACCACTACAGGAGGAGTGGGCAGCGTGCGCAGGAGCGCCAAGCCCCACCAGAACCGAGCTTGCGTGCTTGAGAGCGTTCGAGAAGGATCGGGCGCCTGGCCACCAAGCTGGCCAGAATCTTCTCAAGCGACTGCGAGGAGCAGCGCGCAGCGCATCCTCGAACATAATGGAATATCCCCAGTCCCAGCTCAGGGGATTTGGTAAACCGTGCGAAAGTACTCCTTTCCCAGGCCAGGCGTGAGCACGCTGACGTCATAACCCATGACCTGCATACTGAAATCAGTGGATTCTCAATTTCGGGCAATGTCTCGAGTGGCGGAAGTAATCATTCTAGTAGCTTACGCCATTCCGCCGACCCCCAGAAGGAGTCTGAGCTCGCGCAATCGTAGAAGTTCTCGAATGGCCTTCGGCCCAACCCGCCACCATGCCTGAGCTGTGGGTCAGGGGCCTCTTGGATGAATTTGAGGGTTTCTTGGGATGCCTCTCAAGGGCCTCTTGGATGGGTCTTCGGTGCATCTGGGAGGTTTTTGGGGACCTCTGGGGGGCCTCTTGGGTTTTTCGGAGGCGCCTTGGATGCCTCGTGGGGGGTCTTAGGGTCATCTTTGGGAGACCAGCTCGACATATCAGTTCGTTTCCCCCCTCTTGGGCTCTCTTGGGGCCCTCTTGGGGTTCTCTTGGTCCGTCTTGGGGGCCCCTGGGGCCGTCTCACGGCCCTTTTGGGCTGTCTCCCTCTTGGGGGCCTCATCGGCCGCCTCGTGACGATCTTGGGGGTCCCTTGAACAACGTTAGAAGCTGTCCAAACGAAAAGGCGAGATGGGAGATGGGACGAATGTTGCCTCTTGGGGCTTTCTTGGCTGTCCTCTGGGAGCACGTTTGGGCCATCTTTGGGGCCTTGAGTGCCGTCTTGAAGTAATGTTGGGTCGTCGTGGGGCTACTCTGGGCCGTCCCGGTGCTCTCTTCGATTGGCTTGGCGCTCTTTCTGGGCCCTCTTAGAGCTTTTAGGAGGCTTTGCAGGCCCCAGGGGTGCACTGACGAGCTCATCCAGCCCCCCCCATCCCCTCAAACTGCATGTTGGACCCCAGGAAGATGGCAAAAGGGGAGGGGGACGGCCAAATGACTCAATCGCTCTTTCACCCCTGGCAAACGGGGGTCGGCGGATTTCATCGCTCCGCGATGGTTGCAATGTCTGTAATTCCCCCTTCTGCTCCGCCTCCTCCCCCTCCTGCTCCTCCTCCTCCTCTTGGCCAATTGCACTGGCCGTTTACACAGGGCCATCAGCAGGGCCCGAACCACGGCCTTGAGAAATCGTGCCCTTTACGTGGACGGGAGTCCCCCTACGCGGGTAACCGCGCGGCCAAGGGTAGCCGCGCATAAGTCGTCGAGGTCTCCCCTGTTTACTTGCACCTTGCAGAGCCATCCGACTCTTGGGTCCTCCTCCTCTTTCCCGTCCTCCTCCTCCTCCTCCTGCACACCTGCCTGGAGGGGATCGACATGCGAATGCCGAGCCACATGGGACTGGTGGCGATACGGGAGCAATATCGCCGACGCCAGCACATGATATGCATGATCGTTCTCAGCATCGCACTCTGCCTCATGATGATCGTCAGGTCCATCGACGCTCTGAATATTCTAGATGCGACACCATGCCTGGTGATGAGAGCATTGTGAGTACACATCCGCCGTCGCAACCCTCGTCTGCTGATCTTCGTGAGCCAGATGTCGGCGATGAGCGACGGCGCCTACAACGCACCCCACAGCATCACGGGAACGATGAAACTGAAAGTCAGGACCCCCCTGAGGCTCCTTGGGGGGGCGTTCCGGAAACCACAGTTTCGGGGCCTGCATCGTCTGCCGATCTTCGGGAACACTGGCGCCGCGAGTGTTCTCGACACGCACCTCGGCCTGGCGTGGGAAGTACCTTGAGTACGTCGCGTCCTCCCTCGCTGGCTACATCATCTGCTGAGAATCGTGAGCCTGCTGCACATGCCGTCCGACAGAAGCGTCGGACCTCTCCCCACTCCCCTCGATCCTCGAAGCGCAGTGCTGCTATCTCCGAGAGACGGGATTGCAGTAGTGCGAGGTCCTCTATCCCCAGCGCTGCAGAACTTCGTAGAAGCGGCCTCGATCGAATCACTGCCGCGGCTTTTCGTTCGTGGTTGAATCCTCGGGTGCAAGGCCGATGCGCCAGTGTGAAGTCTTGGTCCTGGGATTTCCTCTCCAGGGGTGAGGTGCTTTGAAAGTCACGTCTTTTCTCGGGCGGGTGGAGCCGAACATACCAGTCGTAGATCATTATTAGGGCCTTCTGTTGTAGTCAAACCTGCTTCGAAGCCCCCAGAGGTGTCTTCTTCTTATTAGTATTATCATTCCTCCTCTTCGCGGCGTCCACCTCCTCCTTCTACTCCTCCTCATCCCTCCTCCTCGTCCTCATCCTCCTCTTCCTCCTCCTCCTCCTCCTCCCTCCTCCTCCTCATCCCTCCTCCTCCTCCTCCTTCTCCTCATCCTCCTACTCATCCCTCCTCCTCCTCCTCCTGCTCCTCCTCCTCATCCCTCCTCATCCTTCTCCTCCTCCTCCTCCATCCATCCCTTTTCCTTGTAAATGACTTGTCCCTGTCGCACCCCGAGACCAGCTGATCGGGCGAGTCGGGCGTTTCGCCTGAGACTTCCTCACGATTTACGACTCTGAAGCTGAAAACATGGCATCAGCTTCACAGATGGAGGGCAAGTCGTTTTCAAAATGCGTCTCTCGCCTTAGCGTGGCGCACATTCGTTGTAAAACTTTGCAAGGGGTTCACGGATTGAGGGCGGGTGTTTTTTCCCAAACTGTGGTTCAATATGGGGAGTTTGGAGAGAGGGTTCATCATTCCAACATAGTTGATGGCTCTTGGGTTTAGACTGGTCCTCCTCATCATCGTAATCAGCATCATCATCATCAGCAGCAGCATCCGTAGCCATTTTGGCTCAAGTTGGAACCATTGTTCCGTGGCTCCAGCTTGGGAGCAGCCAAGGAGCAGATCGAGGGTCTCGGCAGACAGGCTGCCAGCGGCTCCCTGCACCACCATCCCACTGAGTGCATACCCTCTCTGCCCCTCTCCAGACTCGACCGCGATGGCGGTCGATATGGCCGCGATCCAAGCTATGCTAGACGCCCAGCTCGCCAAGATCGAGAAATCGATTGATGATAAGGCCTCGGGTCTTGCTGCCACTGTTGGAGTACAAGGTCAGATGTTGAAAGAGATCACCGACCGCCTAGAGAAGTCAGAGACCCGTCTCAATGCCATGGAACAGATGGCTCAGGTGAGCGCCCGTTTGCCCCCTCGTGTGAACAGTCAAGGAGGTAAGCGCCGTGCAGTTGACAGCTCGGTTGGGGACGGGTCCACTACAGGAGGGAGTGCAGGAGGAGGATCGTCGCTTGAGGATGCCCACCGTCTCCTCATCCTTGGGTTCCAGGATCGATTGATGGCCACTACTCTCGAGAGGGTTGCGAAGGACATCATCTCTAAGTGTGCGACCGTGCAGGCAGCCAGTCTCATTCGGATTCGGGCTTATGATCTCCAGAAGAAAGTTACCCTGGACTTCCCTACCCCGGCCATGGCTTCGGACTTCCAGATGAATTTCAGGAATCTGAGTGAGAGTTACAGCATGGTTAACCCACGGAATCAGCAGGATGTGTGGCCCCTTCGTGTTCGTCGCAACCTGTCTCCTCAGCGTCGGCTTCTCTTCTTCAAGATGGGGAAAGTACGGGGTGCGGTTCAGGAAGAGCTTTCCAAAGTTGGGTGGCAGGCCAATTCTAATGGAATCGGCGGGGATGTCTTCGGCCTTCGCTCGCGTGAAGATCCAGTTCCTCTCTTCCGCCGCAGCACCCCAGGCGGATCTGCAAGGTTGGCCGATCGGATTCTCAGGACATACCTCGGACATTGCTGGTGGCGTTCTTACGCTGATCCCTCCTGCTCTCTGCGCTCTCTTCACGGACATTTCGGCATTGCAATATTGATGAAGGCCGTATCCTGGTCTCTAAATGCAACGGTCGACGGGGCGCTCTCTGGGTCCTTAATGTGCACCTGCCTACACCGGGGGAGCCTATGTGGGCATTTCGGAGGTCTCTGAGGCTTATTCGGAACGGTCTGGGGACTCCTGGCGCACTGGTTACGATTGGTGGGTAGTGCAATTTTGCTCTTGAGGAGGATGGCCGTCAGTGTGGGGATGGATCGCGGTGGAGGCCTGGAGATCGTAATGGGCATGATACGTTCCACTCGTTCTTCCCTCGTTGGACTGAGGTCCACCAGCCAGAACCTACCCGTCGTGAGATGGTTTGTGGGGAAATCTGCCATGTGAGCCGACTTGACCGTCTGTATCTCGCCTCTCCCACTGCTGTGCTCTCTGATCTCTCCATCGCGTGCTCGGCTATTGGCAAAGCCACGACTACGCAGAATGTCTCTGACCATATTCCTGTCTTGGCCACGTTTCGGGAGTGCCAGCCTTCGGGGAATCCGTCTATCCCTTCCTGGGTTGGGAAACGCCCGCGGTTTCAGGTTGAGCTCGAAGCCCTTCTGAGCGAAATGGATCGGACTCTGCATACGAATGCTCAGAATGCCTTGGTCAAGAGGTGTATGTTTGAGGCGTGCAAGCGGACGCGTGACTTCCTCTCCCATCAAGTCGCTCGGACTGCAGATGAGAATATTCACTTTTCATTGGCTGCGTTGAGGGGTCTACGTGCACGGCATACACAGCGTGTCTCTTCTGCCATCTCTTGCTACCCTCACCTGTCCCGCTTCTTCGTCCTCGGCCATCTCACCTGTCGGAATCTCCCTGCGCTTTGTGATCGCATCCAGTCGCTCCAGAAACTTCGGCTGACTGAGTTAGAGCAGGAAGTTGGCAAAGAGACAGCTTCGGAGATTAAGGCTCGGCTGCGTTCCAGGTTGCAAAGGCGTCGTGAGCTCTGGAGGCCTCTTCAGAAACGGATCCCTCTTGGGACTATCCTGGACTTCTGGTGGTGCCCCGCGCAGCACCATTGCGGAGGCGGGGGAGGAGCTGGCTCGGCACTGGGAAACGGTCTTTGGTGAGTTTGAATGCGACACTTCTGTCTGGCCTGAGCTTGAAGCTCACATCTCTCCTGTCCGCCCCCTTTCCAGATGATCAGTGGCGTCTTGGTTTTGAGGACTTTGAGAAATTGGTAAGGGGGCGTCGCGGCTCGATGCCAGGGCCAGATGGGATTGTTTACTCTTGCTGGAAGCCCCCTATCCCGATTGCGATCCTGCATGATCTCTGCTGCCACCTGTTTGACCATCGTGCTTGTGACATGTCTCCTTCCATGCGGGAAATGATTCTTGCCTTCTTAGCCAAGGGTGGTAACCCGACGGATCTTACTGCTTGCCCCTCTCGGTCTCCTGATGTTTGCCGTCCTCTTGCTATGGCCAACACTGACTGTAAGCCAATGGGCCCCCCCCCCCCCCCCCCCCCCCCCCCCAACTGGAGAAAGAAGCGCGCGAGAGCGTGCATAAGGTTCAGGCCTGCATTCGAGGGAGGTCTATGACAGACCAGATTCTTGAGGCTGAGTGTTGGGGAGTTCAGCAGTGCATGGTGGGGAGGGGCCTGTCTTGCATGTTCCTGACTGACTTTGCTGCTGCGTTTCCGGGCATTGCGATTTCCTGGCTTCTTCGGGTGCTGGTCCTGTTGGAAGTTCCTCCTGGAGTGGTTGGTTTTTTGTTTGAGGCGCTGTGCTCTGATTGCCTGGGGACCGTCTGCTTTGGAGGGGGGGCTCATAGAGCGATGCGTCTGCTACGGGGTGTTCGCCAAGGGGGCCCGTCCAGCATGCTGCTCTCCGCTCTCGCTCTCGACCCGTGCATTCGTTGGCTCTGTTGTCGTCTCCCTCGGCAAATCTTGGCATATGCTGATGATTTGTGGTTCGGGCTTCGCGATGTGAACGTGGATTCACCGATTCTTCTCCCGCTGCTTCAGCGTCTGCATCCTGGGATTGGGCTTGCCCTGAACATGAAGAAGTGTGTCCTGATCCACTGTGGCCTGAGTCTCTCTCCGCGGTCGTCTCGGCTGATTCGCAGGTTACTTGCTAGTCTTGGGAATGGGGCCGATGCAATTGGTTTGGTTCGGCATGCTCGGTATCTGGGGATTCAGATTGGCCCAGAAGGCTGGAAGCACGCTTGGGGCACTGCTTTGCAGAAGTTTCATCAGCGTTGTATTGAGATTCGGAGACTTCGGATTGGGCTCGCTATGACCATTAGGGCGTACGCGATATTCGCCGTCTCGGTTCTCAGGTTTGCGATGCAGTTCCATCCTCCGTCGTCGGCTGCCTTGAAATGTGAAGGGAACATGCAACAGAAGCTTATGGCGGGTCCTCGGTTTGCCTCCAATAGACTGATGTGTGCTAGGATGTGTGACCTCGGCTTATCGTTGGGATTCCCTGATCTGGCCCAGATCGGCATTGCTATTCAAGTTCGTCTTGCCCACAACAGTGCTGCATTCCCGCGGTTCCGTGGTCAGATTCTTGGTCTTTCCCAGCAAGACGAATTTCACCCTGCTCGGACGCGGCGCCCGCGGTGGCAGCGCACGTTCTGTCGGTCTCTTATTGACACGCGGAATGGGCACATCCATCTGTGCTCTGGCTTTCTTCAGGCCTCGGGGTTTCAAAAGAAGCTCACGCGAACCCTTCGTGTCCGTGCTCCTCCGATCTCTCCTATCCGATGCCTTCACGCCCGGGTGATCCGATGGGCCCCCGGGGTCTCGGTCGCCCAGGTCTCTGCCGCCGTTCAGGTTGTCCGCAAGGTTTGCAAGGAAAGTTCTCTCTACCTGGGACTCGCGGTCTTGCGTGTCCTGGCGAGGGGTGTCTGTACCAGTGCCAGATTTCATCGTGGGCCTGTCGGATGCTGCTGGAACTGAGGTGCCCCTGGGGCCAACGACTCTATGGAGCACTATGCTGTATGTCCTGAATTTCGACGACTGAGTATAGCTCTCGCCCCATGCCTCCATCCTTTTTTAAGCGAAGAGTCCTGGTTCCGATGTTTAACTTTGATTGCCCCTCCCCCGTTTTTTGAGCAGCGATTAATCTGTGCGAGTCTCTTGGATGGATTCCTCTTTGTCCAAGCCAGCTTCCGTGAGGGGTCCAGGCTGTCGCCGAAGGATCTCCTCAAAGGCCGCGTCCGCTTGCACACTCTGCGGCATCCCAAGGTTGCCCGTGCCTGGTTTGCGTCTTCCTCGTAGCTGTCTCATAGAACTTCTGCCTCCATGGGGCCAGCGGCTCACTGCCCCTCTTGGGGCCCGCGGAGATTTATGCTGTACAAGTACCATTCTGTCGTCTTGTTGCTCTTTTCTCCCCGTGCCCCGCTGGGGGCAGCGGACTTGGCCTCGTTCTCTGCTGAAGCCCGTGTTGGGGTTCCCCGAAAGCTGCTCTCTTGGCTCCTCTCGGGGTCCTTTGCGCGGCCCGTATTTCCCCAAACAGTGCTTCTCACGGCGTCCACTGGCTGTTGCAAGTGGCAAGCCTTGCTTCAGCTGCATTGGCCGTCGATAGCTCTCCTTTAATTTTGTTGCCGCCAGGTTACCGATGAAGTACCGCGAGGCCCCGCCTGCTCTCTGGAGAGAGATTTTGCGAGGGCAGGGTCTGTTTTCCTCGATCGTCGCCTGGCTACGGGCTTAGCTTCCGATCGACCCTCCCCCTCTCTCAGGGCATGCACCCGGTGGGATTTTAACATTTGTGTTGCGGGATGTGTTTAGTTCGTGGTGTATTTCCCATCTTGTGTCGAACTGGCGTTGTGCCACCTGTAAGGCGCCCAACCTCCGAGTTGGTTTGGCATCGTTTGCGCCCGATGCCAGGACTGGACTCACTGCATCGATTGTCACCCCTCATTGCCGTCGGTTCTTGGGGGGAAAAATCATCATCATCAGCATCATCATCATCATCATTATCACCAGCATCATCATCATCATACAACTGCTTGCTGAGTGCTTTGCTCGTTGCAATGTTGCGTGCCGCAACCACTGCGGCTCAAGTCTCAACTTGTGCACGCTCCCATATGCAGGACCCCGCCCAGTCTTTCTCAGACATTCTGCGATGCGGGGCTCAGGCGGTGGGAGCTTCCCTGGTGGCGCGGGCGGCCGCGCCGAGCTGCGGGGCTTGCGCGCCGCTGCTGACTTGCCCCGCCATCCCCGCCTGCGTCTGCGCGGGTGCTGGTGGCCAGGTGCCCGAGCCGTCCTGCGGAGGGCTCATCGCGGCCTACGCGGCGGCCGCCTTGGCCGTCGGGCTCGCCGTGGGGGCCGTCGGGGGCGTGCGGCTGGCCAGCCGCCTACTGTGCCCGCCGACCACCGAGGCGCCCGTGGTGGACTTTGAGGAAGAGGCGCGTGCGCAGGCAAGGGCCGTCAGGGCCAAGAAGGCCATCAGCGCTTGATCATGGCTCACCAGCTCCACTGGGCTTTGGTGAAGTATCGCATCGGGGGCGCGCATGTATGGCATGAAAGGCTCATCGTGTTGCGCGGCCCTGGGACGACTGTCTACGTCATCACCCCCGACGGGGGTCGGTGCGAGGAGAGCGGGGCCCCCGATGCGGACATTGAGGGTATCATCGCGATTGCGGGCCAGGGTGAGCGGCCAGCGGGTTTGCGCGTGTACGGGTTCAGGGCCCTGCCGTCGGCCGCCGACGTGTGGGCGGGCATCCAGGAGGCGATGGTGCTCTACGGCATGTCCCGCCCCGCTTCGCCTGCCAACATGGCACTGGCGGCGGGCAGCGCGGGCGGCCTGCCAGCTGGCAGTCTCGCGCTGGCCGACCCTGCGCCCCCGCCCGCGGCGGGCCCCCCGCCGCTGGCGCACCCGCCGCGGGTGCCGCTGCTGGCGCGGTGGCCCCTGAGGGGGGCGCGGGAGCGGCGCCCGCGGCGCCAGCAGGCGCCGTCGCGATGCCTGGCTTGGCGGCGGCCTTGGCGGGAGCTGGTGCTGTGCCCGCCGCTGCTGCCGCTGGCCCCGCGCTGGTGGCGCCTGCCGCGGCGGCCCCTGCGGTGGCCGCCCTTGCGGCGCCGCCCGCCGCGCTGCCGGTCGCCCCCGTGGCCGAGGCGGCCGCTGGAGGGGCGCTCGCGGTGCCCGCGGCAGCCGGGCCCGCCGCTGGTGGCAGCCCCGCCGACCTGCGCGTCAGTGCCGTGAGCCTCGACGCTCGGGGCGACCGCTGGAGGGAGTTCCGCGACGGGACGTTGCTCCAGAGCACGACCGACTGGAGCGACTGGCCCGTGCGGGGGCCCAGGACGGCTGCCTGGGCGTGCGCCCGCATTCAGCGCCGCGCGGCCTCGCCGTCCGCGTGGCACACCAAGTGGATGACGGAGTGGAAGATGGCGGAGGACGACCACATCACGCGAGAGCACGCGCTCCTCTGCCGTATCCTGGAGTTGGCCGTGTGCTACGACCAGGTGAACGTCGGCGGGCTGGCCCATCTGGAGATGACAGCTCGTCGGCCGCAATTCCTGGAGGAGAAGGTTGTGGAGCTGCCCTTCAAGCCGAAGGGCAATGACAAGAAGGACAAGGACAAGAGCCACGTGCTGGACGATCGGGCTGAGAACAACCTGTTCCTGGGCGCGCAGGAGAGTCGCGGCAACGTTTGTGTGCGCCCTCTCCTCAGCACGTGGGTCGCGGATGAGTTGAAAGCCGAGGCTGCGGTGGCTAAAGAGCGCAGGAAGGCCCGCGAGGAGCGGACGTTGCGCCAATATCCACAGGAGCCGCGTGTCCCAGCGGTGGGCCCCTCCTCTGAGGCCGCTGGGACCTCCTGGGCCAGGAGCTGCACAGCTTCCCATGGTGGTCGGTACCGACGATCGCCAGCGAGGTATTTTCCTTCTACCTCGGCTCGCTGTCGATGGTCGTCGAGAGCGTTTTGTGTCTCGCCGTGCCCGACAGAGGTGCGATCGTGGAGCTGCCTGGAGGTCCTCGGCCAACGAGTGCATCGACAGCCTGAACGCCCTCAACGGCCATTGCAGTGGGGGGCAAGAGGTTGCACCTCCCGACGGCGCAGCTAACCCACCACAGAGGCTGGTGCTCGAGCGCATCGCCGAATCATTTCAATATTTTTCGTGGCCGTCTGACACGCCTGTCAACAACGCCACCTCGGATGCTGCCCTTGAAGAGCTGCTCCGACGCACACCTGGTTATTGTGATGATGCTACCACGGTTCGACCCTATGCCAAGGACTCTGTGTCCTGGCCCGCTGCGGGAACGACTCCTACCCCGTTGGTCAATATCTGCAGCGCGGCCTCCCTCTCTCGGCTAGGGTCATTGAGGACGAGTATGCTGGTCTCCGAGTCCGTGGCAGAGTCCAAGCGCCGTGGGTCTGGACTGGTGAGGCCGTACGTCGACCCCCTCCTCTTGAGCTGCCCCGTCCGCTACGCTGACTTCCTTCGTCGTTTGGATGCCGCTGGAATGCTCAGGTTCCGTCCTCGCCAGCACCGAGAGCAGCCCTCCGCGGGGGTGTTCTTCTTGTCCAAGAAGGACGGGAGGTTGCGGATGTTTTTGATGCACGCATTGCAAATCTCTCTTTTGTGGAGCCAGCTGGGACCAAGCTGCCAGCGAGCTCTTCGTGGGCAGGTGTAGAGACCAGCCCCGAGATCAATGGCCACATGGCGTCGGCGGACATACAGTGCGCCTTCTACCACATGCAGCTGCCCTCGGACCTTGCCCACGCTTTCACTCTACATTGCGTAGCTAATCGGGTGCTTCGACTGGAGGGCGTGGGGCTTGACATCGACGTGGTGCCTGAGATTTTGGTTGCGCCGACTGGGTGGAACTGGGCTTTGCACTTCTGCCAGGACGCATTATGCATCATCATCATCGCGAGGGACGCGGCGGTAGAGGAGAGCCGCGTCATCGCCGATGGCTTCTCCCACACCGTTCTGCAGCGCCCCGACGACTGGGCGGCCCCGCCCAATGTTGAAAATTTTTGTGTAGTCGCGGGCCCCCAAGAGCTTGCCGACCGCAAGTTTCAGCTCATCTCGGCAGCGGTCTCTCGTCACGGACTTCCCGTTCATGAGGTGCAGGGGGCGCGGGCCTCTATGATCTTCACGGGCCTCGAGTTCGGCGGGGTGAAGGGTGCCATGCGGGTGCCCTGCTCTCGCCTCGCCCGTCTGCGCCCGGGCATTCGTTCTGTGCTGCGTCGCCGAGGGATTTCTCCACGGGCTCTATCTACGTTGGTAGGGCATATCACTTGGGCTATGTTGAACAGGCGAGAAACGTTGTCTATGATGTCCGCCACGTTTGCATTTGCCAGGAGTCGGTCCACTGAGCCTATCAAGCTTTGGGACGGGGTCCTCCGAGAGCTCCAGTGCGTTCAAGCGACGCTGCCATTGTGGGCTACGTCGTGGCGCCTTCCCTGGGCCTCCGACGTCGCGGCGTCCGACTCGCCGGGGCATGGAATTGGGGTGCGCCGTCGCAAGCCCCCCCGTGCCCGTCGTCGCCGAGATCGGTCGTCTCGCCGAGAAGGTCAAGTACAGGTTCACTGACGCCATCGCCGCTCGTCGTCATGCCCTCGCTGGAGCCCCAGAGGATCCCGGCGGTGTCGCACCTCTCCCTCCTGACGAAGGTATTGGTCACAGCGAGAGCCCGAAGGAGTGCCCCACCAAGCCACATCCCGAGGGTCCTGTGGGACATGGTGGGTCTCGGGTCTTGGACGACATCGCCAACTTTGAGAAGTCCGTGAACGCTGGTGCGGGGCTCCCTGGCTTTACAGAAGTACCCCGAGAGATCCTGAAGGAGCCCGACTGGAAGGTAGTCCACTCTAGCAGGGCCCATGTATAGCGGAAGAACATCTTAGAGTCCGAGGGTGACGCTCTGGAGTTCGCTCTTCGGCACCTCCTGCGTTCAGGGCCCTTTGCAGGGGCACCGCCTCCTCCTCCTCGTGGACAATTTGGCCCTGGCTCTCAGCGCAGGCAAGGGCCGAGGTCGCGCGGCCAACTTGGCCAGACCCTTGCGCCGAATCGCGTCACTATTGCTGGCCACAGGGCGCAGGGCACACGTGCGCTGGGCCCCGTCCGAGCCCAACCCGTCGGGCGCACCGTCGCGGTCGGGCTTCTTCACGGGGCCGCAGTGGCCTGGTGGTCGTGCCAGTGGAGACGTTCTGCCGACGGTGGGCTCGCGCGAGCCGCCCGCCCCGCGCCAGGGCGCAGACGCGCCAGAGGCTGGCCCCACTGGAGTCGGCCTCGGAGCAGGGCCGCGGGTGCCTGAGTGTTCTGGCGGCGGCGGCACTCACCGACCACACCGCCACGAGCTACCTGGCGCGCGCCCAGAGGCTGGCTACCGGGAGCCGGCGGATGGGCCTGGCCTGGTTGACGGGCCACAAGCTCGACGTGACCTTGACGGCCTTCCTGGCGCACCTGGTCTTAGACGGTTGGAAGGAGCTGAAGCCGCCGTGCACGCGGCTGCCGATCCAGCGCCTGGCAGCGATGGCGATCGTAGGCGTGATAATCTCGCTCTGCCAGCTGCCGTTTGCGATGATTGTCCTCGCCTTTGCGAAGTACCTGCGGCCGTGGGGAGCCTTTCGGTTTCGCGGCGTCTCGCTCGCGGCCCCCAGGCCCCCTGCGTCGAGGCGGTCTTTCCCCGAGGGGCAGGATCGAGGCCGATGGGTCTCCGACGCCTCCATCCGACCGTGTGCGAAAAGGACGAAGCACCAGCAGCAGGCCAACAGCCTTTCGCGCGCGCGGATGGAGTTCGATCCACGGGCGGGCTCGTACCTCGTAGCGCTGATCCTGATCTCCGCGCTGGGTGCGCTGTTCCCGCGGCGCGTTCCCGCGCTGGCGGCCGGCGCATCACGCGGCCAAGTGAGGCCATATCTGACGACCAGGTAGACGGCTATCTGACCCGCCAGCTGGCTGCCGCTTTTTCCGCCGCCCAGGCGCGGCCTCGCTCAATATTGATCGGTCTCGGTGCCGCCTCGTGGCCGATCGTTCGGCGCTGGCGCGCGCTGGGCTACGCGAGCGTTTGCCTCGATCCGAGCAGGCATCAGGCCTTTGACTGGCCCCGACCCGCGGTGCGCCAGAGGGTCATTGGGCGGCTTCGTGGGTCCGTGGTTTTGGGTGTCTGGGCCTCTCCAGCCTCGGGTCCTGGGCCCCCTTCCTCTCGCTCTCGGGCCTTGCGGGGTTCGTTCGCCAGCTTGACCCTCGAGTGCCATCGGCAAAGGGCCCCTTTAATTGTTGAGTGCTGCCGCAGTTCTCCGCCCCCGTGCCTTGTTTCTTCCAGACACGCGTGCCCCCTGGCCTCTCAGACTGCTGAACTGGACTACTGTCAGTACGGAGGGGCCTGCGTCCGTCCAACGAGACTCTGGGTGTGGGCGGCCAAGTTTCCCGCGCTCAACGTGCGGCCTCCGTGTAAAGCTCGCGGCAATAGGTGTTCTGGTAATCGTCGGTTTCATGCCGAGCCTGCTGCCTGCTTGAACACATACCCACGTCAAGTTTGCCAGTGGGGTGCCAGCTGGCTCGTGACGTGTGCAAACAATATCCGCGATGCTAAACGCAGTGGGCTTGCTCGGTAATACGAATAAATGCTTGCGGCCTCTGGCCAGGGGTTGCAAGTATGTCGAGTACAAGTCTCTGACGTTGGCTGCTGCTCTGTCTGTCTCGAGGCTCCTGCGCTGGCGGCGAGACAGTCGCCCTCGACCCCAGGCAGCAAAGATGGTCTCTGGCACACTGAGAGGAATAAGATCACATAGCTGCTTGCTGAGTGCTTTGATCGTTGCAATGTTGTGCACCGCAACCGCTGCGGCTCAAGTCTCCCCCCCCCCCACTTTCGCCTTCAAGTATCATCTGATTTTTGGCTGCTGCACTGTCTGTCTCGAGGCCCCTGCTCTGACGGCGAGACAGTCGCCCTCGACCCCAGGCAGCAAAGATGGTCTCTGGCACACTGAGAGGAATAAGATCATCATCATCATCATCGTCATCGTCATCACCATCAGCCCTCCTCCTGTTCCTCCTCCTCCTCCTCCTTTTCCTCCTCTATTCAAGGATTTGGAGGCGTTGGCGTCGATGTCAAAGAAATTATCCTCCTCCTCGCCCCCCCCCCTCATCCCTCCTCCTCCTCCCCATCCTCATCCTCATCCTCCTCCTACCATTTTGGCTCAAGCCATTTTGGCTTGATCAGGCAACGAGTGAGGCGGCCCGTCCGTATCCCTAGTTTCTCTCTTTCCAGACCTTCAGCTGCCTCCATCTACGTGGCCGCTTCCACCTGATCTGGCGATGGCGCGGAAGGTTACCCGCGAGCTCTTTCAGGAGATGCAGCAGGTCAAGACCGAGTTGGCGCTGCTCCAGCAGCAGGTCAGAGTCTCGACCAGGGCGCACCTGGTCCTAGACGCCCTCGTCGCCGAGCATGAGCCTCCCCCCCCTGGCCTGTTCGAGGGTGTAAGCAAAGCGACCTTGCAGAGCGCGGTGCGGACCGTGGCGTTGCGGGCGGAGCAGACGGCGAGGGACCATTTGTATGTCGCGCCGCACGTGGGCGTGAACCCGTACTTCACTGCGCCCGATTTCGCCGGGATGGGCGACATGCCCGCGGGTGCAGGATCCTTCATACAATCACTGAACAGCGGGACGGAGAACGTCAAGCCATACCCACCGTCCAATGGCGACGCCAGCGCGGGACCTATCATCGTGGCGGAACACTGGAGCGACCCGTTCCCCGACCAGGGCATCTACTTCGTAACCGATGCGGAGCCCGTCCCCGACCTGCTGGCTGACCTGACCGTGGACCAGAAACAGGACCCTGGCTGCCCTGAACAGGCCGCCCCCCAGCGTCGACCCCACCGCCAGTCGTGGAGCCACGGCCCGAACTGACCGACATCGGCGAGGAGGTGCGTTCGCCTTCGGGCCCGCCATGTCCGTCCAAGATAACAACTGACAGAATGAGTGCAGCAGATTCGGCGTGGGAGGCTCTGTTCAAGGATGTCGACAACCGCGACTGGATCGCCATGGCCTACAAAATCAAAGAGTTCCCCGAGCTCGCCCCACGCGTGCTCGCGTTGAAACCATACGTGCTGAAAGGGACGCAAATCGTGATGAACACGCTCTTGGAGGAGGACGCCCACCTTCGCGAGCAGCTCTCCCAGCTCGGGGGACACCCCCAAGTACTGCGGGCGAGGGCCGCCGCGCTGGTCGACGACCCGTCCGTCAGGGAGAAGGCTGGCCAGCTCTTTCGCGAGGCCGAGTCCATGGTGACGGAGACCCGCCTCACGGTCCACGTTGCGAAAAAGAAACTCACGATCGCCCGCCTCCGCCATCAGTTGGTCGGTGACACGTTCGACGCGATCATCGCCGCAGACATCGAGGGCCTCAAGCTCCTTGTGGACAGGCTGGCACAGCTCTGATTGGATAGCTCGACAAGTGCGCTGCAGACCCTTCGTTGGGACAGCGCTCCCCTCCGTGCTCGCCCTGTGCGTGGACCAGCCGTCCCCTGTCGCCGGCGTCCCTTTTCGACGGCTACTTCGACTTCCTCAGGACAGGCCCCGCGGCAGTTGTTGCGCGGGAAGAGGGCGTCCCCTCTGATTGATGCACCCGTCCGTTTGTGCCGCACTAATTTTTCCTCTTGCATTGCATGTTGTGTCGTCGCCGTCTTTCCTGCGCGTTTCGTGCTAGCCTCGCTTGTGTGTGTGTGTGTCCCTCCGATGTGACTGGGACAGGTTGCCAGTGTGTCATACCTCGCGCTCCTCGCTCAGGGACGTAATTCGGCCTCCTCGAGTTCGGTTGCAGGCGTTTTCTGCCTTTTCCTTTCTGTGCCGTCAACGCTCTCTGCCATCATTGTGACTGTGTGTGTATCGCTCGTCGCCCTCCGGGTTTTTTTCCCCAACTGTCTGAGATGCAGTGCCCACCACCACCATCATCCTCCTCCTCCTCCTCCTCCTCCTCCTTTTCCTCCCCCTCATCCCTCCTCCTCCCCCTCATCCCTCCTCCTCCTCCTCCCCAGGGCCTTCAAACGGTTGTCGTCCAAAGAGGCAGTCCCTTCAATTGGCATTAACCGTTGTCGTATGGGGCCTGCGACGACGGAGCTTGGAGGGAGGGTTCATCATTCCAACATCGTTGACGGCTCTTGGGTTTAGACTGGTCCTCCTCCTCCTCCTCCTCCTCTCCCTCCTCCTCCTCCTCCTCCTCCTCCTCCTCCTCATCATCATCCCTCCTCCTCCTCATCCCTCCTCCTCCTCATCCCTCCTCCTCCCCCTCCTCCTCTTCCTCCTCCCCCTCCTCCTCCTCCCCCATCCCCCCGCGCCGCTGCCGAGGCGCCTGGGCTCGCTGAGGCGGTGAGGCACGCCGTGGGCGGCCGCTTCGGGGACTGTTTCCGGTGCGTGTTCCGCCAGGGCAACGAGGGCACGCTGCGCGACGTGCTCGAGCGGCTGAGGCTCGCCCTTCTGCGACCCTCGACCCTCGATATCCTAGTTATCCTCGACCCTCGACCTCGATATCTTCGACCCTCGATATCCTCGATATCCTCGACCCTCGATATCCTCGACCCTCGATATCCTCGACCCTCGAGCCTCGAGCCTCGATCCTCGACCCTCGATCCTCGATCCTCGACCCTCGATCCTCGACCCCGGGGACGGCTGGGCTCCCCGCCGCGGGGCGCACGCTGCGCGGCGTGCTGGAGACTGGCTGAGGCGCCCCCCTTGTTTCGACCCTCGACACTCGACCCTCGATCCTCGGCCCTCGATCCTCGGTCCTCGATCCTCGACCCCCGACCCTCGACCCTCGACCCAGCCGTGCAACTAAACCAGGGAACAAAAATAGTCAGGGGACGATATGTTGAGTCTTTTGTTGGGAATTGTTGCGCATGTCTTGGCTACTTGTCATGTTTCCTTCAGAATCCGCCTGTAGGCGGACTTGCCCGACCTTACACAGAACAGAAGAAAACCGACCTCGAAAAAAAACATCATCGCCATACACAATAAACTTTTTGGCGCTCCGCGCGGGCTTCTTGGATCCGCTCTGGGGCCCCCTGGGCGGCGCCTGCCGGCGCCGCCCCTGGCGTGCTCCGCTCGCTGGGGAGGGGGGTCCAGCGCAGATCCAAGAAATCCACGCGGAGCGCCAACAGTTTATGTTTATGGCGTTGTATTATTTCCCGGCACAACGGAACATAACATGTGAAGTGTGGGACACTGGCCCCAGCCCCCACAACAATTGATTTTACATGTCAGCGTTTTGCAAGTATGGTGAATGTGCATGAGTGTGGGTGCCCTGTGAGCAAGGCCATTAGGCCATTGCCAGCTGCCGCAGGGTGGGGCACTGGGATACATCTGACGAGGCCGAGAGGAAGCGGACCAGGAGGAGGAGAGAGCAGTCTCAGAAGGCTTCGGTTTGCGTATCGCGCACAGACCGCTTCCCCCCGGAAGTCCCGGCTGGCTTCAACAGGCCCCCCAGCTGCGCCCCTGGGCAGTCTCAGCACCCTGGCGTCGCCTCCGGCGGCGCCCCTGGCAAGCTCCGCGCCCCAGGGTCGGGGTGCTGAGACCGCCCCAGAATGCTCGGGGGGCCTGATGAGGCCAGCCAGGACTGCCTGTGGTCTGCGCGCAGCCCAAAGCCTTGCCATCAAGCAGTGGCGAAGCGTCTTGACCTGCCTACAGGCCCGCCAGGTACTGGTCTAATGACCTTGTGTGGTTCTCAGAGCCGATTCTGGAGCATCATGTAGTTCTGCGACATGTTTTCGGTAGGCCTGCAGCCTTTGCCAGGACGGTCGGTCCCTGCTCAGTGCCAGTCGGGACTGTCCTGTCGTGATCATCAGGGCGCTTCCCTCCCTGGTCGTGAAACTGCTCGGGGAGGCCATCTGTGCGGCAGCTCGGGCGGGCGTCGGTCTACAGTCTACAGGTCTCTGTCTGCCTGGCCGTCTCCTCGCGTGGCGCGGTGGTGAGTCCCATCTCGTGCTCGCGGTGGTTTTGGCGGGCGGGTGCCGGTACCGCGACCCTTGCCCCGATTTCGCTGTTTTGGGCTTCGGGTGGGGGCCCTCGTCGCCACCGCCGGATTCGCCTTGAGATTTTGGTCACAACGCACCGCGGGAGGGATAGGTCTGGGTGGTGGCGGTATCGGTACCTTGTTCGGGTTTTGCTAAAGGTGCACCTGGCCCAAGGTACCCACAGGATTTCCAAGGGCCCCCACGGCCTCCAGAGCACCCCTCGCGAGACCCAGAGGCCCCCAGGGGCTCCAAGATGGAGCGAAAGACTGAGGGCACTTCCTCCGCCGGCACTGAGAAGAGCGGCAGCCCGCCTTTGCCTAAAGGCAGGGGGGAGGGAAACCTATTACCGTGCTGACCCCGTGGTCAGCCTTAGCGTCTTGCTCATTGGATACTTGCGTCTAGAAGATACAGTTTACATGTACATATAGACACATATACAAGTATATAGTGCTATCATATATCGTGTGTACGGTACGTATATCTATAGTTATATATATATATATATGTATATATAATATAGGGAGAGAGAGAGAGAGAGCGAACAAACACAGAGAAGGAGAGAGTGAGAGAGAGAGAGAGAGATACACCAGCTGCCTGCGGCAAGGCCCGTCACCGCGCGAGCGCAGCAGCGCAGCATGAAGGAGGTCGAGTTCAAAACGCGTATTGGAGCTTCTCTGACCCTCTGGAGGGCTTTTCGGGAGAGCCTTTCAGGTCCGTGTGGGAGACCTCCTTCGATGGTCTGTAAGGGGAGCTCTCCTCGTGGGAGTCTCTTGGGCCTCTCAGGGGCGGCCTGGGCTCCGCTTGGGGCCGGCTGGGGGCCGATTCGGGCCAGGCGGATGTCGGCTGGGGGCGGATGCGATGCGATGCGATGCGACCACCGTTGCGGACGCTGTCCGGGCCTAGCTTACACCAGGTGGGTGAGGCCGTGGCTTCGAGAATCTAGTTGGGGGCGGAGGATGAAGTGGAGGAGGAGGAAAAGGAGGAGGAGGAGGCGGAGGAGGAGGAGGAGGGCGCGCAATTATGGCAGCGATCGCCGCCAAGCGCCCTTGTAGTCAGAGTCGAGGCGAAGAGTAGGAGGAGGAGGAGGAGGAGGAGGAGGAGGAGGAGGAGGAGGTGTGAGTTATGGCAGCGTGCAAGTCAAAACCCGACGCCCTATGCGCGCTGGAGGAATGAGGGGGAGGAGGACGAGCAGGAGGAGGAGCAGGAGGAGGAGGAGGAGGAGGAGGAGGAGGAGGAGGAGGAGGTGTGAGTTATGGCAGCGTGCAAGTCAAAACCCGACGCCCTATGCGCGCTGGAGGAATGAGGGGGAGGAGGACGAGCAGGAGGAGGAGGAGGAGGAGGAGGAGGAGGAGGAGAGGAGGAGAGGAGGTGTGAGTTATGGCAGCGTGCAAGTCAAAACCCGACGCCCTACGCGCGCTGGAGGAATGGAGGGGGAGGAGGAAGAAGGAGAGAGGAGGAGGAGGAGGAGGAGGAGGGAGGAGGAGGAGGAGGAGGAGGAGAGGAGGAGGAGGAGGAGGAGGAGGAGGAGGAGTGAGGAGAAAGTAGAGGATATGGATGAGAGCGAGGAAGAGGAGGAGTGAGGATGAGGATGAGGACCAGAGAACGTCCAAGATGCATCAACGATGCTGCACTACCCTCCATGCGCTCAGTTGTACAATCGGCCCGTGCTTCTTGTATTAGAACGTCGAAAAGCCGTCAGCGAACGCCCGCCCCACAACCCTTGCAACTGCTTCAAACTCTGGGAGTTTGAGAGGAGCGTTCGCGGCGGTGAGGCGATAGCCCCGTCTTGAACAAGACTGAAGAAGGAACCACACTCCATCCTCGAACCCGTTGCAAACTGTTCGATGAATGCGCGTCCTATCTTTCATGTTGCTGAAACTTTAGGTCGACAGGGTGCGCGGCGCTAAGGCGATGGTTCCATGTCAGAATGGGCACGCTTTCATGCTTTGAGATTGTTGCAAGTTCGTAAGGCGATCTTGCTTGGCGCCAGCGCGAGGCATTTTGAACACGACCCCCACTCCGAACGTGAAATTGCAGCAAACTTAAAACAAACGTATGTGCGCGAGGCTAGGGCGACAGCTCCATGGGGAAAGCGACCTGCCCTCTATCCTTGAATATGTTGATCAAGCTGTAGGATCATTCATAGCAGATGAGGAAGCCTCAGGCGAAACGCCCGGCCCACCCTACAGGCACGCTTGGGGTGGGTTTGGCTTGATCCTTGTATCAAGAGGAAGAGGAGTAGGATGATGATGAGGAGGAGGAGGAGGAGGAGGAGGAGGAGGAGGAGTGGAGGAGGAGTGACAATTAGGAGCCCTAAACGCATCAACGATGTTGTAAGAAGCCCTCCCTCCAAGTTCCCTGCTCATGCTTCATGCACCCATGTATCTTCACTACAGGAAGTGCCCCATTGGAAGATCACCCTTTGACCATCCTGTTGCTCCTACATCGCGACAGAACGCAATCCTGGGGCTCCATTCATACGCATCCTGTGCGCGGCGCTAAGGCGAGCGGCACACTTTGAAAACGACCCGTCCTCCACCCATTGAACCGATGCAAATAAGCTTCAGGAGCATAGACGGTGAGCAGTTTCAGGCGAAACGCCCGACCCGCCCTGCCGACACGTCGGGGAGAGCGACAGGGAGGAGCTGCTTGCAAGGGAAGGGATGAAGTGTGAAAAGGAGGAGGAGGCGTGAGGAGTGAGGAGGCGGAGAAGGAGCAAGAGGATGAAGAGGGCCTCCCCTGGTCCCCCCTCAGTCCCTATCCCCGGGCCGGGTCATGTGCCCCGTGCCTCCTCCGATGCGCCCACGGCTATGTTGCCGCGCGAGGCCGTGCGACGCCTGGCTGAAGCTCTCCGAGGAGGAAGCGGGGGCAGACCGCTCCGGGCGGATGCCGCGCCTCGGGTGCTGGCAGGGGTGGCCCCCCCCCTCCTCTCGATGATCCTCAGGACGTGTGTTCGCCCAATTTGTGTTTACTCAAGGGAGGGAAAAACCACCCGGACCGGACAACTGGCGTTTACTAAACGGCCGTGGGCGTTTACTAAACAGTCCATGCCCTGTTTGATCCCTTCTTTTGGTGCGTTTACTGAACGGCTTCGCGTGTCGGGGTGGTTACCATCGGGGTGGATTTTCTGCCCTCTACCTACCCCGTTCAATCAAACTAGTAGATCAGAACATCGCCTTCGTCGTATTGAAAGTCCTCAATGGGCAAACACACGTTGGCGCAAACACACGTTCTGAGGATCATCGATCCTCCTCCCCCACACGCCTCCCTCCGTTTTCCCTCTGGGAATCTGTGTGGCTCCCCTGCTGTTGGTGCGTGGACCCAGGGTGGCTCAGCCACACCTGGGGCCTGGGCTGCGTGTGCGATGGGTCTTTCCACCGTGGTAGTGGCGCACAGGGACGGGCCTGTTGCTTGCGCCTTGCCCTGCTCCGCATATTGCCTGTGGCGGCAGCCATTGCCTCTGTGCTTCACCGTTTCTCCTCTGGGGCCGGCCGCCTTGGAGTTAGTATGCAACTCTTGGGCGTAATCCAGTCCAGTCTCGTTTAGTGTCGCTTTGATTGGGGCTGGTAGCTCCTAACCCTTCGCGCGAAGATATCCCAGGAGTTGCTTCCTGACCCCTGTTCTTCACCCTTCCTCCTCTGGGACTTGGCCCCTTGGAAGCTGGCTCGCCCCCCCTCCCAACCCCCGACCACCTGACTTTGTCGGCCGTGAAGGCCCGAAGGGGGTTGCAGTCAACCCGCGTAGTCAGGACGGGCAATCTTCGCAAGGGTGTCCTTGCATCCTTGCCTCCTCGGTCCATTCTGCGCCACCTTCGCTGGCAGCGCCCAGCTCAAGAAGCTCCGAACTGGGCGTCCAAGGCCCTTGCATCCTGACCGCGCATCCTTACGATACGGGCCGACTGTACTTAGTACTGGTGCGCACGGGCACACGTCGGGCTGCCCAGGCCGAAAAAGTTAGGCTATCGGCCGGCACCTCCACCCCCCGAGAATAACCTGGGCTATCGCCGAGATCAGACCCGGTAGCAAATCATAGGAGCTTGGTACGTCCTCGCAATTCCGTCTTTATGGGGTGCGTTAGCGTGCGTTAGCAGCTGATATTCGATGGGAGAGCACCGATTCGCGTCGAGTAGCGTCGATTTAGCGCCGATGAGTGTCGATTCGCAAGAGCCAGCAAGATGGAATATGAGGCTCCCATAAGATACCACCACAAATACGACGCCCTCATTGGAGGCAGGCCATTCTCGGAGCGGATGAAAGGGTACTCTGAGTTTCTGAATATGCGTGGGGCGGTACCTCCCCCGACGGGGGTAAACCTCGCCTCGTCGTCGCGCCGCGACGGGGGTCGGAGCGCCTTCGGCGCACGGTGGCTGCCCGCGACGGGGGTCGAGGCACGCTTTCGCAAGAAAGCTCGGACCCTCCCCCCCTGGCCAGCCTACCGATTGGGTACGGGCGACCGAACAACGCACCAGCTCCTCCTACCTTGAAGGACCTCGTCATGCGCGCACCGCTTGCCTTCCAGCCATCAAGCGCCGGCACCACCCTCCCACCTGAGAAGGTGTCCGATGGCAGGTTCGGGGCAGACTCTCACCGTACAAACGTGTACACAGCCATGTGCGACACATGCCCCCCCGGGTCTCCGCTGCTTGCGAGGGAAACCGGTCGCCCAGCCCTCGGTTGCTTCATGTGGCGCCCCGAGCCAGAGGCACGGTGCAACGAGCAGACAGGCCTGCCACCGTGGGAGATGATGCCTACCTTCTGGATCAGGCAGCAGTGGAATGCGGAATGGGCCTGCAGAAGGTGCCTCATACACATTTGGAATGTCGCGCCAGGCGTCCTTGACCACATTCTTGACCACCACTCGTCCGAGGTATACCCCACTGTCCCCACCAAGCGGCAGATCACATCGGAGGTGCCAGAAGACAGCCACAGCTACGACATGTGCGCACACCTCTCAGCAGGAAGCAGTGCGGCGGTGAATGACGCTTTCACACGATCCACACCCCACGAGGACCGCTCGTCACCACGCGACACGGAGATCGGCAAGCAAGACGGTCAAACAGGAGTAGACGACAAGGCCTCCAGCAGCTACTCCTTCCCCGAATTGCCGCCACCCCCGTGCCCCTACCTGCCCACGCTCCCCACCCTCCGTCTGGAAGGGGCTGAGTCAGACGGCCCAGTCCACGCCCTGGTCAAGTACATGATTGAGTGGAACCACACAATCTACACCCTATGGGCCGCCCATGCGCAGCAACAAGGAGAGAGCATCAAAGGTGACATAACCGACAAAACAAGGTGGCCGACCGAGCCGACCGAACTGCTGCCCCCCTTCTTGAACACGGCACACGGAGACGACACCCCAGACAACGGCCACCCACCGTGCGTTCCATGGGACGGACAACGGGCAGCGGCAGCCAGGGTCGTCTCACACCTGGTGGATGGGAACCAGAAGTACCAAGAGGACTGGGACCGCTACGCAGACAGCCTCGCCAATCAGAAAGGGCAGGGCCCCTGCCAACAGTCGCTTCACATCTTCACGGCGTTCCTTACCAGGCTGGAAGGCTCCGACTTGACCAGGGGAACCATCGACCACCTCGCAGCCCTGCCCCTGGAGCCGGCCGCTAGCAGCTCAGACCGCGGTGAATCACCAGCTGCCAGCTGGCTCAACAGGCCCAGCAGGAAGGAATCCCCCGCAGCTGATCGCCGAATGAAGGACCACGGAGCACCCCCGACCCTCGCTGACGCGCCACCCCCTTAGCCCGCCGAGTCTGACCAGTCCCATGCAGCCCAGGAAGAGGAGCAATCCCCACCTGGGCACTGGAAAGGCGAAGGCGATGTGGAAAGGGGTCGATTGTGGCGAAGAGGCGGGCAGGAAATCCGAGTCTGACGCCCATGCGCGATCTAGCCCGCAGGACATCTCAGCCCCGCCCATCTCGAGGGCGACATAAGTGACACAGCTCCTCCCGTGGATGACAAGGCGAACCAGGGCCCCCCACAGCTCTGGACAAAACCTCCTGACAGGACCGATCCAGAAGCCTGGTCCCCATGCGAACAGGCAGCCGCCAGAGGAACACGCAGAGATAGGCACGCACCAGGCGAGCCTCGTACCAGGGATGATCGGGCCCGGAGTCTGAACGCCGCACGGGACAACAGGACTCTTAGATATGCGGATGGCGAAGTTGGCCGGCATGCACCCGCGGTCGACGTAGTCAGGGCCAGAGAACGCTCGGCCACCCCGCCACCGCGCGATTCCTCCCGAACACTGCGCGCCACCCAGGGATCCTGGAACGACACGCGGAGTGCGCCAACACCCGCAGCTCGCCCTGACGATCCCATGGGAGGCATCCCCATGTACATGTGTTCTATTGACAGCGGACGTCGCAAGGGACGAACCAGCACCTGAAAAGATCTCGCGGCTGCAGAAGACGCTGCGAGGTGCGTTTAACGGAGTCCGGGGCGCCTGGGTTCAGAGGGCAGCGTGCAGGCAAGGGAGCCGCTGCAGCAAGTCTGATCCCAGGCTCCATTCTGCACAACAGCGCAGCGATTTCCCCCAGGCATGGAGCAAAGTGGAGCTTGACGCCTACAAGATGGATAAAAAGTACCAGCGCCACGTTGACTGGCCGAGTGCCACGGAGAAACACCGCAAACTCATGCAGCGCGACGCCAGACCGCGCGCCGCCAGCGGGGCCGTCAGCAGTGGCCGCCCACCCCCATGGACCGCTGCAGGCAAGGAGGCTGCGCGGGCGGCCCCGCCAGACCAGTGGACAGGGGCGCCCGGCTCAGGCTCGTCGCGGCGCGCATGGCAGTCCTGGGGCGCGCGGGGGCACCAAGGGGCGTCATGGACCGACGCGGACTGGAAGGCGAAGGGCAAGCGTTACTCACCCAGAGGAGAACGCCAGTACGCTGACAAGCGCCCGCGGGGTTGGGGCCCCCGACCCAGATGATGGGGGCGCGACGTGGACCCGCCCGGTTCTCGGCCATCCCCCCCAGGCGCGAAGAGGGCCGCAACGCTCGACGACGCGGCCCACCAACTCACGTGCTGCCTGCCGCGCGCCGCACATTCTACCTCCCCCTCCCTGCCCGGCATGCGCCGCGCCCCCCTCCCCAATCGGTTTCGCCCGGCTTGCGCCGCAATGCCTTGCGCTACCTCCGTTGGGGCGGAGGGGCGCCAATGCCCTTGCGCTGCGCGTGTAGACAGCCCGCGCTGGTCTCGTGGACCTTGCGCCCTGCCTCGACCCAATGCGCGCTACCCTCGCGGGGCGAGGGGCACCGGTGAGCGTCGCTGATAGACAGCCCACGCTGGAGACGTGGACCTCGCCAGGCCCTTTCACCCCCGCTGCCGATCGCTGCGCGGGAGTGCGGCCGCAGCCTCGAGGCCACCGCCGGCACGGACTCCTGGGTCGCCCGTGCCTTCCCAGGGCTGCCCATTTTGGACGACAGTGACCGGTGGCTGAAATAACCCACCCCCTGCGCCCCACCCTTTCTGGCACCGCGCACGGCAGTGGTCGAAGTAACCAGCTGCCGCGCTGCCAGCGCTCAGCCCCATTCGCCTCATGGGCTATGGGGTCGTCGCTGCCACCCCTCCAGGGCAGCCTACTTTGGACGGCAGAGACTGGTGGCTGAAATATCCCACCTCATGCGCTCCACCTCTTTCATAGCATATTGTACGGCAGCGGGTGGGGATCGAAGTACCGCTCCGCCCGCGATCAGACACATTCCCTTATGGTGTGGAAGCTCCTCGCGTGGACAATCGGGATCGCTTACAGTGTTCAGCGGCCATTGGCTGCGCCCCCTCTTCCTTATCATTCACAATGTCTTTGCGGCTTTTGGCTGCGCCCCTCACCTGACTCATTCACGCTGTCTCTCCGGCTCTTGGCTGCGACCCCATCTTGTTCGCTAGGACTGCACCTAGCACTGCGAGTCAGGCGACTGGGCACGCCCCCCGCGCCCTGGGCTGCGGCGGCGCCCCCTCCTCCTCCTCCTCCTCCTCCTCCTCCTTCTCCTCCTCCTCTCCACCTTCATTCCCAATGTCTCTGCGGCTTTTGGCTGCGCCCCCCTTGCGGAGTGCGTTGCGATCGCTGAGGCGCTTCCGCCCTGAGTCGGTCCGCGCATGGGCGCCCAGGGCGCAACACCTGTGTCCAGCGGCATCTGGCTGCACCCCCCCCCCGTTCATTCAAAAGTCTCTGCGGCTCTTGGTTGCGCCCCCCCCGCGTTCAAAGGCAGCGATGGCTTCGTGCGAGGATAATGTGACCAGGGAGCAACAGTGCCGACCACACCCAGCAGGTCAGCACGCCGACCTGTGGACAGGCTGCCGGCGGCGGTCTGCCTACCCCAGCCCCGGTCGCATCCGTCCTCCGAAGGGGCAGCGTGGCAGGTGGTGGACGGGGGTGATACCACGCACCACGCCGTATGAGCGGCCTGTATCGCGCGGTTCAGCCCTCAGCGGACAGGTGGTTGCCCTTCTCGGCGCAGCCACACGCCCTGCCCTCGCCATGACATCGCATTGTTGGGCCCCCGGACCTCGTTTGCCAGATACGATGTGGATACTGGCTATCGGCTGGCTGTCAGCCTGCGTACGCTGTCGTGATGCGGCAGTGGAATGGGGTCAGCCCGTCCCCGTTGACACCGCGCTCAGCGGCACGCAGTGCCACCCCCCACCTGCGTATCGCCTTGGTTCTACGTTGACCTGGTCATGGCGCTACCACAAGGACGTCGTTCTGGCTTCTTGACAGGTGGAGATAGGCGTGTTCGCTAACCTCACTTCCGGTGTCACCTGACGTCTGGCTTCACCAGGGAGTGGCCCTGCACGAGTGGTTCATCCTTTTGCAGTTCATGGCCGTTCCCCCAGCAGACCAGTCTGCATCAGCCTTTTGTCAGCACTTGCAACGTTGTGCCCCCGAACCGCGAGAGTCGGATACGTTGTGGACGCACTGGCTACAGGCTGGAGGTGGCGGTACCTCGTGTTCGCTGACCGGGGGTCGCCCCCCTCTCATGTGCAAGGGCGGACTTCAGCCGAGTTCTGCGCCAGTGAACCATGGTGAGTGAGGCCGTTCTCTGTGCCGCCTTTCTTTTTCTTACTGACGCTGTGTGCCCTGACTGACGTCCGCAGCGGCTCTCTTGTCCCCCTCTCGGCCTCGCTTCTGTGTGTCGTTCGGCCGGAGATTGGCGCCGACAGGGCGACTTCTCTCCGCTGTTACAGTACACGTGGCCACGCTGTACCGCTGTACCGCCGTTGCCGCTGTTCGCTGCGACCTGGCCTTTGGCGTCTAATGTGGGTCATTGTGTCCCTCGCATGTGCATATGCCACTGCGGCCAATTAGCTTCGTTCGCGCCCCGTTCGTAGTCGCCCCGCTTCTTGACCTTCGCCAGGGAGCCGCCAACCAAAAAAACGTATCCCCACCAACCCATCCAGTAACGATGCCCAGGCGAATGGAGGTGATCAGGGAAGTGAGGGAGCATACAGAGTAACAAGGGGCTGGGGAACCCGTCTTACCCAAGACGGCGAGGATGGAGGAGGAATCGGAGGAGGATGAGGAAAAAGGAGGAGGAGGAGGAGGAGGAGGAGGAGGGGGAGGAACTGAAGGAGGAGGAGGGGGAGCGGGAGGAGGGAGGAGGAGCAATAGGCGGATGATGATGAGGAGGAGCAGCAGGACGATAATGAGGAAGAGGATGCGGAGAAGGGCGAGCAGAATGGCCAGAGGCCTCTTGGATGCCTCGTCGGAGTCTCTTCGGATGTCTCTTGGGAGCGTCCTGAAGGCCTCTTAGGGCGTCTTGGGAGCGTCGTGGCGGTCCCGGGGGCCTCTTGGGGCGTCTTGGGTGCCTCGGGGAGCCTCTTGGGGACCTCTTGGGGCCATCTTGGGGCCATTTTGGGGCCATCTTGGCGCCTCTTGGGGCCTCCCGGGCGCCTCTTGGGGCCATCTTGGAGGCGATCGATCAAAGAAGAGGGTGGGGTGCTAATGAGCCCTGCCCCTCTAGATCCTCTAGAATCGCCTCTTGGGCTCATCTTGAGGCGCTCTTGGAGCGCTCTTGGGCGCTCTCGGGGCCGTCTTGAGGCTCTCTTGGGCCCCTCTTGGAGCTATCTTGGGCCCTCTTGGGGCCTCCTGGGCGCCTCTTGGGGCCATCTTGGAGGCGATCGATCAAAGAAGAGGGCGGGGTGCTAATTAGCCCTGCCCCTCTAGATCCTCTAAAATCGCCTCTTGGGCTCATCTTGAGGCGCTCTTGGAGCGCTCTTGGGCGCTCTTGGGGCCGTCTTGAGGCTCTCTTGGGCCCCTCTTGGGGCTATCTTGGGCCCTCTTGGGGCCTCCTGGGCGCCTCTTGGGGCCATCTTGGAGGCGATCGATCAAAGAAGAGGGCGGGGTGCTAATTAGCCCTGCCCCTCTAGATCCTCTAAAATCGCCTCTTGGGCTCATCTTGAGGCGCTCTTGGAGCGCTCTTGGGCGCTCTCGGGGCCGTCTTGAGGCTCTCTTGGGCCCCTCTTGGGGCTATCTTGGGCTCTCTTGGAGCCATCTTGAGGCCTCGTAAGGCCATCGGAAGCGAAAAGGCGAGAAAGCAACATTCACCGGTTTTCCTTACGTTTCTGAAGGATTTTGGCCTCTTGGGGGGTCTTTTTGGAAGTCTCGGAGGCCTCTTGGAGTCGTCTTGGGGCGATCTTGGGGCCTGTTGGAGCATCTGGGGAGCCATCTTGAGGCATCTTGGGCTATCTCGAGGCATCTTGGAGGTCATCATGGCCTCTCCGAGGCCCTCTTGGAGCCGTCTTGGGCCATCTTGGACGCTCCAACGCGTCGCGGAACCCCCCGTCCAGGTCCAGGGGAGGGGGTTAGGGGGAGGGGTAAACCCCTCCCCGAAGGGGAAGGAGGGAAGATGGAAGAGGGAACTCCCTAAACCACCTACGCCCAGAGGGCTGGTGGGATTAGCTGCGCGCAGGTGGTCTCCGCCGCGCCGTCTAGCCCCTCCATTCACCGACACGTTGCGCGCCTCCCCGCGCCAGGAGGCGCCAGGAAAACCAGCTAGTTGCGTGAGTTGAGCCTCTACTCGGAGGCGAAAGAGGTAGCCATACCTCGACGGCCCTCGTCGCCACCGCTGGATTCGCCTCGAAATTCTTGTCAGAACGCACCCTGGGAGAGGTCCGGGGAGTAGCGGTAACCTTTTGGCTTCCCCATTCACCGTACCCTTTGCTATCCTACCTCTTCGTTCCCTTCGGTATTGCATTTTCGCATCTTCCCTCCCCGGCCTGCTGCCCCCAGCGCCTCCGCAGGAGGCCCGGTACTTGGCGCACCTGCTCGTGCTGCTGCTCTGCAAGGAGCCGCTGGGCTCCTCAGGCCCCGGCGCCCGCACTGGCATTGGCGGCGGTGCAGGCATCGGCGGCGTCGGGTCGGGGGGGGCCGACATGGTCCAGGTCTCCGCCTCCTAGACGGGGTTGGAGTAGTTTTCGGACGGTCTCGTAAGTTCCTGGATGCTCTAAGTTTTCGGACGGTTTCGCAAGTTCCCAGAAGTTTTCCAGCTTGGGTGTTTCCCAGCAGCTGCGCCTCGCCGAGGGCGTTCTGAGGGTGCCTGGATCGCCCCGAACGCCCGCCGGGGATTCGAGTGACGGCCCGAAAACCAAACGCCCAAGTGAGGTCGGAGTAGATGGGGTGTGTGGATCGCGCCGCATCGCCTGTGCATCGAGAGTTTTGTAAGGGTCCGGGGATAACCCGCGTTGTCGGGCCCGCTCCCCCGCCATCCCACCCCGAGGATAACCTGACCTTGTCGGCTTCACAGGTCCGAAGGGGGGGGGGTGCAGTACTGGTGCACGCCAGCATACGTGGGGTTGCCCACAGCGAGAATGTGATGATGTCTGCCGGCACTTTCCCCCCTCCCCCGGGATAATTTGGACTGTCGCCAGGAAATAAAGCATGTCGGTGGGTACGAAGACCGAAGTCAGTTCATGTCCATTTTGATTCAGTTCGCTGTCGGTGTCGCCACGGACGTCTATTTGAAACGAGAGTCGCCTGCCCGACAGTAGCCGCTGTCGGTTTTGAACAACATTTGCTGTTGGGCGTCGTCCTCGTTTTTTTCCGTATCCATTTCTGGCGTGCCAAGCGTGGGCAAGACGTGAGTTTGTTTTCGATCCCGTTGTCCTCCTCATGAGTACGGCTAGGACGAGGAGGAGGATAAGACACCGTTTGTCGAATAAGAAAATCAATGCATAAACAAGTTTTGGGATCTCCGCGCTGATTTCTCGGAACGGCACTGGACTTCTCTCCTGGCGCGCGGAGCGCGCCAGAGGCAGCGCCCGAGGCGCCGCCAGGGGGCCTAGAGTTCGCGAGGAGCTCCGGAAGCTCATGTCTATACCCTTTGTTGTTCTTCAAGTTCGGGGGCGCCTGCAATCGAGGAGGGGCCTGAGCCCCTCTGCCCGGGGGGTCCACCTCGCGCGGCGTGAGTGCGAACCCAAGCAGGGCGTTCTCGGGCCAACAGGGCAACGGCGGGCATCCACAAACATTACGTTTCGGCTCTCCGCGCGGATTTCTTGGATCCGCGTTGCGCCCTCTGGCGGCGCCCCTGGCTTCCCCCGGGCGCGCTCTGCGCGCCAGGGAGGGGGGTGTCCAGCGCCGATCCAAGAAATCCGCGCGGAGCACCGCAAGTTCATGTTTGGGCAGATGCTGGTTCCTTTGACACTCGTTCCGGGGTGCGGTAGCCAGCTGGGGTGCCTTCGGGCCAATAGAGTAAGAACAGGCAGCCGGCAGCAGCAGCGACAGCAGCAAACACCAGATGTGATGGGAGGGTGAGGAACAGGACAACGACGTCAATGAGATGAAGGACAAGGACGTGGGATATGTGTTGGGAGGGGGAGGACGGAGGACGAGGTGATGATGAGTGATCGTGAATGATGATGATGATGCTGGTAATGATGATGGTGATGGTGATGATGCTGTTAATGATGATGGTGGTGGTGATGACGACGACGATGCTGTTGATGATGACGATGTCGATGACGATATGACGATGATGGTGACGATAATGCGGATGATGATGATGAGGATGTTGATGGTGATTGCCATGAAGATGATGATGGTGATGATAACGATAATGGTGATGGGGATGATGATGGTGGTGTTGATGATGATGGAGATGATGCTGATGGTACCGATGATGATGATGATGATGATGATGATGATGATGATGATGATTGTGCTAATGATGGTGGTGGTGGTGAGGCTGATGATGATGATGGTGGTGATGGTGATGATGCTGATGCTGCTGATGATGATGCTGAGGATGATGCAGAGGAGCAGGATGAGGATGACGATGATGATGAGGAGGGAGAGGAGGAGGATGAGGATGAGGCCGAGGATGGTGATGACACCGAGGATGATGGTGATGATGATGGTGTGAATGATGATGGGGATGATGACGATGGCGATGATCATGATGATCATGCTGATGGTGCTGCTGATGGTGCTGATGCTGATGTTGATGATGTTGATGATAATGATGCTGATCATGATGGCGATGATGATGATGACGATAATGATGATGGTGAAGCTGATGATGTTGCTGAAGATTATGATGATGCTCATGATGATGATTCCGGTGATGGTGCTGGTGACGGTGATGATGACGATGATGACGATCATGGCGATGATTATGATGCTTGTGACGATGATGGTGGTGCTGATGATGATGGTGGTGGTGTTGATGGTGATTATGTTGATACTGACGTTGATGATGCTGATGATCATGATGCTGATGAAAATGATGATGATGATGATGAAGATGAGGATGATGATGATGAATATGATGATGATGATGATGATGATGATGATGATGATGATGGTGATGATGATGATGTTGATGACGACGTTGACGACGATGATGTTGATGCTGATGATGTTGAGGATCATGGTGATGATGATGCTGATGGTGGTGGTGGTGGTGGTTGTGGTGGTGCTCGTGATGCTGCTGTAGCTAATGCTGCTGCTGATGATGCTGCTGCTGATGATGATGATGATGCTGATGATGCTAGTGGTGGTGGTTGAGGTGCTGGTGGTCATGTTGAGCAGGAGGAGTATCAGTATCATGATGAAGAAGAAAAACAAGAGCAGGGAAGAAGAACATGATGAGGAAGAAGAGGACGAGGATCAGGAAGATGATGATGATGATGACGATGAGGAGTCTGAGGAGGAGGAGGAGGATGAGAATGAGGATGATGATCAACATGGTGATGAAATTGAGGATGAGGTTGATATGTGTTCTACTGCTGATGATGGCGATGATGGTGATGGTGATGATGTTGATGCTGATGCTGATGTTGATGTTGATGACGCTGATGACGACGACGGTGATGAATCTGACGATGATGATGAGTATGATGGCTATGGTGATATGATGGTTGTGATCATGAAGGCTCGCGGCGATGATGCTGATGCTGATGCTGATGCTGATGCTGCTGATGATGATGATAATACTGCCGATGATGGTGATGATGGTGATGGTGATAGTGACCAGAGGATGCGAAATATGAGGGCGAGGAGGGACGAGGTTTGAAGAGGTGGAGGAGGATGAGGAGGAGGATGAGGAGGAGGCAGAGGCGACTCCGACGAGAGGCTGTGGCGGGAGAGCCCGCGCTCAGGTTACCATGCCTGTCAGTGGTTGGACGGCCTTGTGGGCTTGCCAGGCGGGGCAGACTTGATTGAGCTGGAGGACTAGTGGGCGATCGGAAGTTGGGGGGGGCGAGGAGGGCGACCGCAGGAAATCCAGGATGCATCAGGGATGCTGCAATACACCCTCCTGTTCCAAGTCACCCCAGAAGGCCACACTGCAGTTCCACCCTCCAGTTCCACACCCCATAAGGCCACACCCCATAAGACACCTCCACCCTCCAGTTCCACATTGCAGGCAACCTGTTTCAACGCATACTACGGGAGGCGCCCGCTGCAAAGACGAGCGCTCCACGGGGCCGCCGTTCAGGCGAGAGCTCCTCTTCAAAGGGGTTCGCCCTTCATCCGTGTGCGGTAGGCTCATGCGGCAAGGGCGTGCCAGCGACGCCAGCGAAGGCGTTTCAGGTTGATTCCGGCATGATAGAACGACGCGGAAGCACTCGGGGGGAACGGTAACGTCGCAGGACCCGACGCAATGCAACCTGGAACGATCAAGGCCGCGATCGGTTCAATGTTGAACGGTCGACGAACGAGCGAACGAAGCCGCCATACGCAAAACGCGCGTGGGCAAGACAATTGGCGAGACAATTGGCGAGCGTGCGTCCAACGCGAATGGTTGAACGATCGACGCGGTGGCAAAAATCCTTTGCGCGCGCTGACGCCGCGCGAACTTGCCGTAGTCATTGCGCATTGGCCGTCGGGGTGAGCTGCTGCTGCCCCTGCGTGGCTGCCAGGGGTGCCGCTGCCCCTGCGCGTGGCTGTCGGGGTGAGCCTCCTCCCGCCGGGCAAGACGTGCCGAACCGAGGCCATCGTCTGCTTTCGCGCTTGTGCAGCGATTAATCGTTGCCCCTGATGATCGGGGTTGGACACCTGACACGTCGATTAGTGAATTGTCCGTTTTCGGTTCTCGAGAGGGCGCCGCGGCCGTCATTTCCCACGCTTCCGCCCGCCAAGTTTGTGCCCGAGGTGTTTTCACCAAACCATGTTTTACTAAAGGGGCTTCTGTCCATCCCCGAGGTTAGCCCCACGCTGGTGCGGATCGCTGTGCCTCGCCGCTGACGAAGAAATGTGCAGCGATTCGCCCGCTCTTTTTCTGCATGCCTCATATGTAAGGCTGCTGCGAGCGAGGGGGGGAAGCGAGAAGGAGACGTCCTTCTCAGAAGGCGGTGGGGCTTCTCAGAAAGCCTCCGGCCTTCTCTGAGAGGTTTTCTGTGTCTTCGGGGAAGGTTTGGAAAATTTCTCATACGACCGGGAGAGTTCCGAGCCTTCTTGCCAGGCCCGCCCGCCGAGTGAGGCCTAGCGTTTGGTGATCAGCGCAGGGGGGGCGCCACCCCAGCCGACAGCCTCCAAATCGACCCCCGCCGCGGGCAAACATAGCCACACGGTGTTGACCCCAATCGGCCCACGCCACCCAGCGCAAAAACCGTACCCCGGCCTACGGGCTCAGACTGTCGTCGGAGGGGGGACCTCCCACCCCCCCCCCACGCTTATTACGAAACGCAGAGTCCACATCCTGGGCCAGATTCATCGCCCTGGACGCCTGTGTGACCGTCGTCGCCTGGGCCGCAATGACGTTGGATCGGTTCAGAAGAACGAAGAGAGGCGTCCGTGACGTGGAAGCTCACAGGGGCTACGGTAGATGCCTTCCCTGACGGTGTCGCATTCCAGTAACATCACCGTTCGTCCCCTCTTCCTGCCTTGTCCTGCAGTAGCAGCTGTTGGGCGACGCCCAGCGGGAAACAAACGCATCTCGTCAGGACTTTATGCGGCCAGAGCGAGCCTTTGGAGGCATTGGCGACGGCGCAGCTGAGGCCTGGTGAAAAGGGCCACACGTTGTTGCTGCATGCTAGGCCTTGTCCGACTGGATTTGTCGTATTGCCAGTGTATTTCACGTTCGGGCGCATTCGCCCTCATGTTTGCTTTTCTTCCATGCTTGTTGCGCTGTTTGTTCCACCCATTCTCTTCTCGGACTTGCCTCTTTGGAGGCAAGATTCCTGTTCCATGCTCCCCCTCGCCCCTCTCCGCCCGACACCCCTGACCCGCGACGTTATGATCATCTCACAGTGAACTTTCCCAGGGTCTCTCGACCCCAAGTCGTCTTGTGACGGCCCCAGGCCACCAGGCACCGCGAGGGGCCCCCTGGGGGCCGCAGACTGCCAAAATCCTTCCGTTGTGTCTTGTTGTTTTCACAACGCGAGGGGACCAGGGTCGGGGGTCAAGCAGTTTGCGTGAGGGGCCCGTTCTAGCCAGGATGTTCCGACGCGGATGCGGCCTTTTGGCGACGAGGATCCTCCTGAGGCCTACGCACGAAGGGCGAGGGAGAACATTGATAGACGTCCAAGCTCGAAGCTCCGCGCCCCGACGTGCGGAGCAGGCCCCTGCCCTGTCCTTCGGCTCCGCACGGCCCAGCCCCGAGGACCTCTCGTCGCTGCAGCGCGCGCTGTTCTGCCGGTCTGGGACACCCGGCGAGGATCCGCGGCGAGGGGGCGAAGGAGGAGGTGGAGGAGGTGGAGGAGGAGGAGGAGGAGGAGGAGTATGAGTATGAGTATGAACCAGTTACGAGTGCAAGTACCGAACCCGATTGAAGATGAGCTTTCAGTAGTCGCCGCTGGTGGTCGGCCTTCCTGGAGCTCTTGGGAGTCAACCCTTTCTCAATACGGTTGAGATACTCTCTGCCTGTACGTGTGGGTTGGCCAGGACACACTCTTCCCAGCCCGCAGGCCTGCTTATCAGCAATGCCCCCGTACACGCCGCAGAACCACAGACAAATAACAGCATGATAGTTAAGAAAGCAGGGTGGATGCAGCTAGCCCCCCACTACATGGATCCTACCACTAACAGGTGGTGAGAAAAGGGTTCCTTCCACATTAACAAAGGTGGGGCAATAGGATGACCACCATTCTTTAAGCTTGGCAGCCGACGCGGAACCGAAACATTGGGTACAACGACGTTTATTCTCACTCAGCCGATGAGCCGAGAGCAGAGGAGCGAAAGCAGCAACAGCAGGGCGGGGGGGAAACAGGGTGAGGCGGGGGAACCTGCTCTTTTTTCCTCTCACGCTCCCGTTCGATCTCCTACTTTCTCGGCCACGAAACAATCGATGGTCGCACGAAGCAGCCGCATGCGCACGAGCATAGCCTGACGTTCAGTTAAAAGGATCTGCTAAAGGATAGCCTCAGGGATGCGGCAGGAATGGGTGGCAGCCTTTGCAATAATGTCAGCCACAGCGTTGGCACGCTAAACTGCTGTGTGCTCCTCTCTCGACAGTAGCAATTTCCGTTAAATGGTTGCGCATGAACGAAACCGAACAATTATGAGCCGATCCGTGTTGCTCACTGAGAGCCTGCCCAATCAAGACCAATAAATCGGCATGGGGTCCGCTCGGCGTTAAATATGTTTGCTCGTACCACCCGGTCGTAGAGGAGGAGGATCAGGAGTAGCAGGAGCAGGAGCAGGAGAAGAAAGTGTTGGGAGGAGGAGGAGGAGGAGGAGGAGGAGGAGGAGAGGAGGAGGAGGAGGGACGGAGGAGGAGGAGGAGGAGGAGATAACCCGTCAGGTGAGGCTGTGTGAGCACTGCAATGTGCGAGGCGGGCCTCCTACAGGTGGTGGCCGTTCATCGCCGTGCGGAATGTGGATGGACCGCGGTCCGTCCCCAGGTACGCACCAGGAGGAGGAGGAGGAGGAGGAGGAGGAGGAGGAGGAGGAGGAGGAGGAGGAGGAGGAGGGGGAGGAGGAGGAGGAGGAGGAGGATGTTGTTGATGATGATGATGATGAGGAGGAGGAGGAGGACGAGGAGGAGGGGGAGGAGGAGGAGGAGGAGGAGGAGGTGGAGGAGAGTGGATGATGATGATGATGATGATGATGATGGATGATGATGATGATGATGATGATGATGATGATGATGATGATGATGATGATGATGATGATGATGATGATGATGATGATGATGGCGCTGATGATGATGATGATGATGATGATGACGATGACGATGATGATGATGATGATGATGATGATGATGATGATGATGATGATGATGATGATGATATGATGATGATGATGTGCTGATGCTGATGCTGATGCTGATGCTGATGATGATGATGATGATGATGATGATGATGATGATGATGATGATGATGATGATGATGATGATGATGATGATGATGATGATGATGATGATGATGATGATGATGATGATGATGATGATGATGATGATGATGAGGAGGATGAGGAGGAGGAGGAGGAGGAGGAGGAGGAGGAGGAGGAGGAGGAGGAGGAGCAGGGGAAGGGGGAGGCGGAAGAGGAGGAGGAGAGGAGGAGGAGGAGGAGGAGGAGGGGGAGGAGGAGGAGGAGGAGGAGGGGGAGGAGGAGGTCCGATCTCCCTCGCTTCCTGGGGGGCCGACGGTCGACCCACTCAGCCACAGTGGAGCTGCTGGAGGATATGGCCTCGTCTTGAACTGGCGTTTGACAGGGCCTCCCAAATAGGGTCCGCAGTGTCGGAGGATCGCGCCGCATCGCCGATGCATCGGCGATGCGGCTCGATGCGGAGCCCGATTTTCGCCACGCCGACGGCGGCGGTGTATCGCCGACGTCGCCGATGCATCGCCGATGCATCGGCGATGCATCGACAATGCGGCGCGATCCTCCGACCCCATCTTCTCGGACCCCATTAGGGAGGCATCTAGCTCAAGCTTGCTTCGGCCTGCTCTTCCAGGGCTGAAGAATTTGGCTACGACCTTCAGAGCCCAGAATGGCAGTGGCAGCACGAGAGGGGGAGGAGGAGGAGGAGGAGGAGGAGGAGGAGGAGGAGGAGGAGCGAGGAGGAGGAGGAGGAGCGAGAAGCGAGGAGCGAGGAGCAAGGAGTCGTCGGCGGCGGACGCGGCGAGCGGGGCGCGGGGCGCCGCGCTGCTGCCCCTCCGCGGAGGACGGGCGCTGCGCCGCCGTGCTGTACTGCCGGCTCTCCCAGGCCCGCGGCGGGCCTTGCAGGGGGAGGCCCTTGTTTGGGAGGCCCCCGAACCGGGGTGGTGACCACACCGTGCGGTGAAAGAGTGGGGATTCGGGGTCACCGCACGGTTTTGGGACTCGAGTCTTTCTCCGAGGTTTGGGGATCGGGCGACAGGGGCCTCCAGGGTCCCAAGACCGTGCGGCGACGGACCGTGCGGTGAGGTCTTAGGGGATTTCGAGGTCACCGCACGGTCTGTCACTGCACCATTTCGGAAGTCGAAATTGTTCCTCTCACGCACTCTTGGTCCCTGAGGAAGGCGTCTAGTGTCGCCACTCCAGGTACCCAGTAGGGGGGGGAAGGGGGCGGGATGGGCTCGTGGAGGGGCGCGGGGGGGATGCTCAGATACTGGGCGCTGAGGGATGGGCCTCCGCCGCTCCCACCCCCTCCTCTCCTCCTCTCCAGTCCCTCCCAGCCCCTGCTCTGCTCAGCGCCAGGGGGGGGGGTAGTATCCTTCGCCCCTGCTTCTCACAAGCGGCACCTCCCGCCATTCGCGGCAGGCCCAGCAGGCGCTTGCACCCCGTGTGCCTGAACAGACTGTGTTCGAGCTGGTGCGCTCCACTCTCCCTTTACCCCCATTCACTGAGAGGCCCATTTTCCCGCCCTAGCGAAAACGCGGCCGTTACCACGGGGTGGGAGCGGGGGGAGGGGGCGAGGGGTCTGGCAACGTCACGATAAGTTGCCCCTAGCAATTCGCAAACTGCTCCGCTGGCGCGAACCGTGACGGTGCCATGGTTGGGGTGGGGGAGGGGTCCTGGTAACGACGGCGATCGCGACTCGCACAGAAGCGTGCTTGAGTTTGCTTCTCTTTCCTCTCCGGTCGAACTCTCCACAAGAACGGGGATTGGGGGAGGAGGAGGCGGAGGAGGAGGAGGAGGAGGGGGAGGAGAAGGAGGAGGGACGCAGAACGCAGGATAGAACATGGAGTCATGCAGGCACGATACCACCTCTGAGCTAAAATAGGCATGGAACACACAACTTAAAAGATAAGAGGTGCTGCATGCGAGGTCAGCCAACCATCGCACGCCAGAGAAACCCAACGAATTGAACTACAGAGGAGGAGGAGGGCGGAGGAGGAGGAGACGGGAGGAGGGAGGAGGAGGAGGAGGAGGAGGAGGGAGGAGAGAGGAGGGAGGAGGGAAGAGGGAGGAGAGAAATGGAGGAGGAGGAGGAGGAGGAGGAGGAGGAGGAGGAGGAGGAAGAGGAGGAGGAGGAGGAGGAGGAGGAGGAAGGAGTGAGGAGTGAGTCCGGGAGGAGGAGGAGGAGAGGGAGGAAGAGTGGGGAGGAAGGAGTGAGGAGTGAGGAGGAGAAGGAGGAGGAGGAGGAGGAGGAGGAGGAGGAGGAGGAGGAGGAGGAGTGGGGAGGATCAAGAAGACGAGAGGGTCCGGGTTCATGCTGGCGCCGACGGAGCGGCCGCCGTGGCCAGGGCCACCGCTTTTCGTGCCCGCCTGCAAGAGCTTCGGGGTGCCAGACTTTCCGCAGAGGGAGCTTGGGTCCTCCTCCGCACCTTCGCCCAGGGCGCAGTGACTCACCACCTTCGCGCCGCGTACAACTACAACTTAGCGTGGACTGACACTTTCGATGGCGCTGTGTTCGGATGCCTCGAAGACCTCCTGCAAGCGCCTCTTGACGACACGCAGAGACTGCAGGCCACCCTGCGGCTGGTCGACGGGGGGTGTGCCCTCCCTTCAGCCAAGGAAACAGCGCCGGCCGCGTACGCTGCGAGCTGGGCGCTCGTCATGCAGGACGTGGCCCGCGGCGCTGGGTTCGCTACTTGGGAGGACTTTCGGGCCCGCTGCCCCTTGACGTTCCAATCGTTGCGGGAGGCGGAGGCGGCGCTGCGAACGCAGGGAGCTATGGGGGACGACCCGTTCGAGTGGCTGGACACTTTCCAGGAACCGCAACTGAAGCTGCAGGGACAGTGGGGCAATGCGAGGACCTCGGCTGGGAGGGAACGCTTGCTGGGAACGTTGGGAGAGGACGACCGACTCCAATTCGGCGGAACAGGAGGACCAGGGGCCGGGGGATTCCTGCTCCCCCGTGATGAGGGTGACCAGTCCATGCCAGATAAGCATTTCCTTGCGGCGTACAAGAAGCGCTTGCGGGTGCCGGTGTGCCCGCCCGGTGCTCGCTGCCAGCACAAGTACGCCGACACAGGACTGCCGTGCAACGAGCCCTTGGACGCGCGCGGGTGGCACGCCTGCAGCTGCCCTGTGGGGGGGTCCCGCGCAGGCCGCCACGACAGCATGAGGGACCTGGCACGCCCCCACGCACACGCGCCTCACGGGCTACTACGCGGTCAAGGAGCAACGGGTCCCTGGTTGGGACCGGATGGACCCGCAGACGGGCGTCATGGAGGAGGCGAAGTTGGACGCTTGTACACGAGACCCCAGCACAGGCCAGCCTGTGTATGTTGATTGGAGCGTTACCTGCGAATACAGCACCTACGGCCCTCGCAGGCGCGCTCGATCCCACAGAGACGGGGTCGCGGCGGCGCAGACGGTTCACGAGAAGCGCGAGCGCTACCCTCCGCAGCACGGGAACTTGGCGCCCTTAGTGTTCGAGTCGGGCGGCCGCCCATCCGACACGGCCGTCGAGTTCATCCGGTCGTAGGGCCACGGGCTCGACGACGCTGACCGGGCCGTGGTCCTCGGAACGCTGTGGAGGCAAATCAGCAGACGCCTGCAGACCGGCAGCGCCGAGATACTGCTGAGTGCACTCTGACGCCATGCCTGCAGCTACCTGGGCACCAACCCTGCTGCCCGCGGTGCTGTTCGGACAGGCGCTTGGACAAGGACCACCGCTACCGCGGCCAACACAAGCGGCCGCGCCCACCACTGCGGCAGCCTTGGCAACGCCAGCCGCCACCAACGGCCGTAGCCACCACCGCGGCTCGTGCGGCCACCGCCACGACCACAGTGGCCGCCCCCAGCACGGCGAACAAACGACGCAGCCACCGCAGCCTGGCCGCCTCCAGCACTACTACCACCAGCTCGGCTATCGCCAGGGCTGCCACGATGCGACCACCCGGCCCGACCCCCACGCCCTTCACCGCCCCCCGTCCCCCTCCCCCCCCGCCCTTCCCCTTCCTCCTCCTCCTCCTCCTCCTCCTCCTCCTCCTCCTCCACTAGTGTCGCGTCGGCTTTGTAGTCCCCGCCCTAGGTGTAATTCATGCTGGTTAATTCAAAGCCCCCCACTGTGTCCCCACGGGCCCCCTTGGCGAAGGGGGAGGGGGGCCAACTCTGGCGCCCGCGGGTCTTTCCGCCGGGA